AGTCAAATTTTTCAGCTGTGAGATGAGGAAGAGTTCCCAGGTACAGTCTAGCAGCCAGCTAAGCTGAGCACGCAGGTCTTCTGACCTGATAACATCCTGCTCCACAGCCATATGGTTCCTCTCAGTCTTTCAAGCAAAACCCAAGGCACAACCAACAAACAAACATGCGCTCGCAGCTCTGGCATTTGATGCTGAATTTCCCATAGCTACTACAGAGGCACTGTGGTCACAGATTTTGATATTATACAAAATGAAAGTGACTTCATACAGGATTTTTTTTTACTAAGGAGCTTTTGCCTGGCTAACACTCAGAAATATCAGTCCCAGTTACTGCTAAAGCCATCTTGAACCCTGAGCCACACACCAGGGCTGCACAAGGGCCCAAACCCAGGTCCCCAGTTCACACTGCTCCCTGTTCCTTGACACAAGTCCCTTCTAAAGACCTTAAGCACCAGTTCACCTGTTCAGAAGCTCCCTTGCTTATGGGAAATACTGATAAAATATATCCACACTGCTGAAGCTAATCTCTAATTATCATCTGACTAGTTAACATTCTTTTTAATTTAATATAGGTAAGTAGAAATGGTTTTGCATTGTTATCAGTAACTAGGTTTCAAAATAAATTACTTTCTATGTTTTACAGACACACAAAATGTTTTGAAACGTTTACTTTCTAGCTTGTTTTCCAGAAGAATATAATTATTATATGGAGTCAAATCTCTTCAGCTACTCGAAGTTACCCACAAGTTAAGAAAGAGAATGATTGTTAAGAAACTTACTAATATTCTTCTTGAAAGAAAGTTATTTTAAAAACACTTCACATAGGAAAGTAGGAGTTTGGCATGGCAGAGGCCTAATCCCAGCAGATTTAACCAATGAAATGAATAAGGAATAGCAGCACTTGGAAATTATAGTATGTATAAAAACTTTTGATCTTGCCATTAGGGACCTGTCTCAAAACTCATGGGAATAAGTTGTGGGAACCTTTACACAGACTTCTCTAATCTTCAAAATCTTAAAAGCATTTTGGATGCAAGTCCCCAGTATAAAGGTACTTCTTAAGAAAAAACATAAATCTATTTTCATTCTAGAATAAACATTTGAGAAGTCACTCTCCTATACACAGATTGAAGAAATTCTTTCCTTCTGGTGTCTGAAAGGAGTCTAAAGCGTCCAATTGCATCTCACACAACAAATGACCTATCAAAGTTGTATTTTCCTGTACTCACAGTGTATTCCCATCCATACACTTCAATATGAAGCTTCATATGAATGTTTAAAACAGTATTGGACATAAGTAATTATATATATTACACATGATATTTCTAAGACACCCTGACTAAAATTTACCTAATGAGATAATAAAAATAAAGACAAAATTTACTGGAATGGGTATTGCTCTGTAATACATTACACAGTAATTAAGCATTTGATACAGCACCACTTACATGACAAGTGCTTTAGAGCTACTGAGCTCTCATGTGCCACTGCAGAATGAAAGTACTACAAAGCCCTTTTGACCCCCAAATCACAAACAAAAGTGAAAATGCAGTTTGAAAGAGCAAGGCATGCAGGAGTAAGAATAGGATGCTCTGAGGCTTTTGGTCTTACTGCATTCATGAAACATGCTTTATGTAGGTAAGAGTTTGGGAGTTTTTGAAGTTCTTTTCTTCTACAATTTTTACCAGTGTTATTCCATACATATTACTACATCCAGAATACATTTACAGTGGAAATTGCCACCTCTCAAAAATAAGCAGAATCTTTCAAATGGCTTTACTAACTTCTTCTTTTCCATTATAGTGTTGGAAATGCATCACTATAGTATTTAAATACTAGTTTAATTAAACAAGATATCAGCAGTTAAGGAAGATTATTCCTCTCCTCTGCCTCCTTGCTTAAAAAGCAAGGTTGATATTTCTTCACTTGCTGCTAACCTCTTTGTGTCACTGTGCATTTCAGAAAACTTTTAATCAAATGGTTTATGTTCTATTCTGAATGTTATTCAGAATGGGAATCTGATTTTTCAATTATATCATCTGCAAAGTCATGTTTTAGTAAGTAGCACAGGAGGAACATCTCAAAAGACATTCTTGTGAACCAAGTTAAATATTACTTAATGAAGAAGTAGGATTTGTACTGAATTATGTACCAGCCCTGAATGTGAAATAAGGAGTACTCTTCAGCCCTGAGTCACTTGCTCAGTGTTCCAACACTCGTATCAGTGATAGAACACACAAATGCCTAATTCTGCTTTGAGGCAGGGAGAAGAGAAACAACAAAGCCAAATTACTGACTTGACCTAGGCTGTCTCTGAAATTTATTCAGAGGTTAAAACATTGCCAAGCACTAGAATGTTACAGGCAAAATCATTTTTTCACGGAAACAGAGATAGTTCAGGCAGTCTAAGCAATGTTCAACATCAGACCAAGAAATGAGGAGGTGGGAGATTTTTCAAGTTCTCCAAGAAGCCTTTCCCAACACTGTTCTTATGGTCTGACTGGAATGGAAATCTGACTAAGCTACTAATGGCTCTCTCAAATGTAGAGCTACATACATCTACATCAGCAATTAGAGTGCTCTAGGGATTCTTCCTAGGCTTTGTCTTGGGAGTCTCAAAGCACACATGTGAGCACAGCAACATTGTTCCTCAAATCATTGCCCTTGTGACAGAGCTAAGGATGAAGATGCTCAGCACTGTGCCATCCATCATGTGTGCAGTGTTTGCCATCTAGGCTCGTTCCCTCCAGCAGTTTGCACTCTGTGTATGAAATTGAGCACACGCAGGGCCAGTACCTGGCCTGAACTTCCCTGCTGGGTGAAGAACTGATGTTGATGTGCTCTGGCAACCAGAATGAACTGCTACAAATTAAACTCCATTCCATGTGTCTTTGCAACCTTATGTAGTCATACCCAGCAGGCCCTCCTCCATCGGGCAGCAACTTGAACCACTTCACAGAGCAGTTCAAGTGTTTGTTCTGGGTTTGCTAAATTTCTGAAGGATCAAGTCTCGGTCCGGTTTCAGCAGAGGAACGCGGTCAGTGGTTTTACAAACACAAAGATCACGGGGCTCTTACAGAACACAGCACACTTCCATTGCAGAGCCTGTGTGCCATGGACTTTAGACAGATAAAGGCAAGGCTGGAAGTAGAAAGACCCTGCCTGACAGATCCATAAGTATGTAGCTGTGCTCTATGAGCAAGAAACATTAGTCAGTGAGAAGAGTGGCGTAGGTGTGAGGCTGTGCTGCTAAGCACAGGATTAGTTCCACTCTCAAGTTTTGGAGGGTGCAGTTTTGAAGTCACTTATTCCAGGTGACTAGGTTGGGTTCTGCCCCATTTTACAGCAGGTATGCAGAAGCAATATTAATTAAATTTTGCAATAATTAAATAATTAATATCAGTTACAGTAAAAGAAACTTCTTGTTTTAAAAAAGTAGTTCTAATATTAGTTACTTCCTACAAAACTGCACCTGATTTCACATTTAAAAAATGTAAATACAGCTTGGAAAACAACATGAAAGTGCTAAAATAGGAAACACCTATAAATATGCTGTTTTCCCTGCTGAATATCTCCAAAACAGAAAAAAGCAGAATACATTTTGGAGCAAATTATCTCAGATTTATCTAAGAGAGCTATTTTTGAGCACTAGCAGAATGAAAAATTGAAGTTAACTGCAGAAAAAGTAAAGTGTTATAGGAGACAGTCATCATTATAAAACTAAGAATATGCACATATGGTTATCAAGTCAGTCATCTCTTAACTTTCAGTGAAAAGGAAAGGTTTTAGCTCATTTCTGAAAAGTGAAAAGTTGAATCCCAGTGAGCCACACAATAAATAACCTAATTATAACTGAGCTATCAAATGTTTTATTTTAAAGCCTATCTCATGAGTTTCTGAGGCCCTGCTCAAGGGTTTGAGCTCCTAGGTTTATAACAATATCATTATAGCCTATTTCACTTTGTTACTGCCATGTCTACAGATTTTGGGTTGCAAATAGTACAAGGAAACACATATTTCAAAGCAGCTGTTTTGTTTTAGCTCGTGGTATGTCAGGGAAACACTTTTATTAGTTTCAGCCGTTTATAAATTACTAATTAGTAGCTTTCATTCAAGGTTAATGTAACCCATTATTATGACATAAAATATGTGAAACAGTAACAAAGAATTTGAATAGCGTACTTGTGAGAATTTGTTACCATAACTTAGGGGGAAAAAACATCTATCAATACTTACCAAACTACAAGGAAAAGAAGTGTGATATGCATATCATAAACAAAATGAATATATCACAGCTACAACTCCTTATTTTTCATAACATTTAAAAGTCAGCTACTAGAAAACAGCACTTAGCAACCATCTTTAAGACAGCGAACTCACATAAAAGAGATCAAGGTAGAGTAGGCACTTGCTGAAAGGGTCTCTGGGAATGAGCCAAATTCCACCTTTGAAGGACTATGGGTAAAATGGGAAACATTTATGAATTTTTGTGTGGCCAAGATTTCCCTGCCCTGGCTGATAAACAAATATTTTTATCTGAGGTTCTGCTTTCATTGTAAATTACATAAATCAGGCACTGGGGTTCTAATGGCTAGAATTTACCATCTCCATATTGTTGATTTCAAATAATTTCTCCATGTACACGTATGCATAATATATATATATATAGAATTAGAAGGACTCCCTACTGAAAAAAATCTTAGAAAGCCTGTTAAGAAAACAGAGAAACAAGTTTCTTAGAGGACGTTATAGGAATATACCTGCATGATCCTGTTACTTCAAATGTTTTCACACTGCTCACCTCAAGATGCACCACGTACATTTAAGTTTTCCTCATGGAAACAGACTTAGGATTTTACTGTGCTATGTAAAAAGCGGTTGTCCAATAATTTCTTCTTTTTGGAACTATGCACTTCACTTCTTAGGGATTAATGAAACACAGTGATGTATGACATGAATGGCTTATAAAGACTGCAGGAAGAGAAGCCAATCACCTTTACCTGAAGTGGGAGACTTGCAACGCTCAAGCTCCAGGGAAACTGGACTGTCACTGAGTTCAGTCAGGCCTGAAAAAATGGAGTTAAAGAGTTAAGTTACAATCTAACAGGGCATGCTTCAACTTTCTTGGTTGATTATATTCTGCACTTTAAAGTCAATTTGGAGAAAGGAATGGTGTGAAATGAGAGGGAAATAATCTGTTTCAGATAAGTGCAGTTATCAGGCTGTCACTGCAGCAATTTAGGCTTGGTTTAAAAAAAAAAAAAAAAAAAAGTCACACCTCTTGTTAACTCAGATTTGTTTTCCGAGTGCCTCGGGATAGAAAAGAGTGACTGTACCTAACAAAAGAAAACAAGTAAGTATAGTTTAAAATTTAAAAGTCTGTGATATGACTCAAACTCATTCATCCCTGTCAAACTGATGTGGAAACAACTCTGCTTTCAACTGCTGCATAATGCAGGGAAGAAATCTTAAAAGAGGGGAAGAAAAAAAAATAAGATTATGGCTACTGTGCAATATTAGAACTCTCATGAATTCACACAAGATAGGTCATTTTAAAGGACACAGAAGCATTGATAATGCTGGCTGCATGTAGCACTGAATTTTTTGACAAAATACTTCATACATGGCTTACAAATATTGGTCAGGAACCCCACCTACATGGAAGACAGCACCAAGGAAAGCAATCCTAGTCTATACTGCATAAACTCGAGTTTGTTTCTGCGAGCAAACTAAGATCCATCTTTGGCACAGGTTGAACGTTCAAGTTCAAACACCTTTTGGCATGGTAGGGAGGGAAAAGTATGAGCTCATTCTATCCTTTACCATGGGCTAAGTGTTGAGTGGGTGAACTGAGCTTGGCCATGCCTATTCAAATGCACCCTTTGTAGGTATCCATAGCACCCCATGGCTATAGGAGCTCTGGCACTCCGTGCCATTGGCAGTGTGGCATTGACAGGCAGCCCTGCCCAGACATTCACATGCCACCTAGGTGGCCCCACAGCCTCGGGTCAGAGCCCACAGTCAGGTGTCCATTACTGTCACACTGATACTGGACTTATACACACTCTGCTTGTGCTGCATCCTGAGAATCAAACATCCTACAAGAACCTTTCAGTATGCTTTAAACGAGCACCATGGCTCCTGTAAGATTGCATGTTATAATTTTTATTGCTTCTGGACCCTCAGGTGCAGAGACCCTCACCACTAAAATTCATATACACTCTTGTTTTGGAAAATTCTGCCACTCAGTCACCAGTTCTGCTTTCTTAGTATTAAAACCAGTGGAACCTTAACATAGTACTGACAACTTTAGTACAATGTATTTTTGAACTGCTAAAAGAACTGGAGAGGATCCAGAGCCCCAGCCAGCAGAATAAAAGCTGCTACCACTAATGAAGATGCAGGAGCGCAAGAATAACACTGAGACCCCTTTAGAAAACCAGCAGTATTGATTTAATCTGTTAAATCAGTATTAACAACATACTTCCTCTTGACTTAAGAAACAAGATCTGCCAAAGTAGACGCTATCGTTGAAAACCAAAGATTTTTTATTTTGAAAAATGTACTTGAATCTTTGATTTCACTTCAAAACTGTGAGAAAAATTATTTTCCAATCAATTGCAAGTTCAGTCAATTTTGATTTTATGAGAATATTCAGGAACTGTAATAATTTAGGAAGCCTCTCTAGTACAGCAGATCTTACTTCCACTTGAACCCAAGGTTTCTGTATGCTCCTAGAGATTTGGTACAGAATTGATTTTTGCTGGAGAACTGTCTGCAAGGTGCAGCAGGGGCAATTTTGGCACATCTGCATAGCATCAGAGGCCTTGGATAAATAAAACTTATATTGTTTCTTTTGTAAATGCATCATTTGAGATAGGGAAGTTTTAATACCTTGTCTAAAATGTTCTAAACATTGTATAATTAGTACTGGTGTTGGATACAATATGAAATCCCAGGTCACTCTTTGCTTCTAAATAATTTGGGGTTTTTTTACTATGTAGTTAATAAAAACAATATCCCATCTCAATATAAATGATGGTGCTATGGACTTTGGAAAAACACCAAACTGCACCACCCAAGAGCAACTGCAGTAGGAAGACAATGACTTCTTCACATTTGGCACAATTTGCAACATAAAACATTAAAGATACATTTCATGTCATGGTATTTAAGAATGTTGAACATGTGAACTACTCTACAAACCTTGACTTTCTGTCAAGCCACTGTCACCCCTAGCAATGACCACTAAGAGATGCCTTTAAAGAAGAAATGCAACATATCCCCATGTGAAATGTAAGTGGTACCATGTGCCCTGCACAAGAGCACTGGCTTAATCTCACTTAGATTTGCTTAAGCACTTGTAGTTGCAGATTTTCTCCTGCCATAAATCTTTCTTGCTTTGAAATATTATAATGAGTTCTGCTCATTACACACCCATTTATCCAAAGTCTCTTTTAATCTTGTTAAATTCTAAATTCTGAAGATGTTGTAAGGCAGTGAATTGCTCAATCATCATTCACTGAAAAGGATAAACACATATTCGTCAATTTTTATGCATTACCTTTGATTCCACTAAATGTTTCCCTTTGAGATAAGAAAGTGAGCTCTCAAGCTTTTCCTTGTACTACTGCTAATTTTTTACTCTCATTTCCTTTTTAAGGAAACCAAACTAAATATTTTCAATAATTTACCATGTATAAATATTTCCATGAACCTCAGCTTCCCTCAAATGTCAGAGACTACAACAGCTACTGAAGATAGAGTAAAAAATATTTTCACTTTCCATTTTGAATTCTGTAGGCAGTTTGTGCCCCAAGATATTTTAGCTATTTTTAGCCCCCCAAAACCACCACCCCAGCAAATTTTAAGTCCACCTAGAGCAAGAGGAATATTGTAGTAAAAATAAAGGCAAAAACCCGACTAGGAATGTGAACAACAATCTGAGAGAAGATATACCCATAGCCATTATAAAGAAACTGGTTTTGATTTGAGCAAATCGTAAACATATTTAAATTGTACAAGATGCAAATATATAATATAAGACATTAAACACTTCTAAAGACATGTCCTATGGATACTTTTCTAAGTTCAGTAAGATTTTTATTTCCTTTTTATTCAAGGATAAAAACTCATACTAGTATGAGGTGACAACTTTAATGAACCCATAATTTAAAATTATGTTTGAAATTTCTATCTCTATGTTTGAATGATTCAGACTGATCATTTACTCTAAAGTAACCAAACCCATCACATCTTTGCTTATAAATAAATGAATTAGAAATAAGTTATCATAAATATTCACAAGTCAATAAAATAATCTCAGTGTTATCTTAATCCCTCATCTTCACATTGAATTACCATACCATGTTTTCTTTATGTTTATATACCTATATATACATATCCATACACGCATTCTTTGGAAGTTAGTTCAGAACATAGCTGTTGACTTAAACTCAACTTATATTAGCTTCTTAGGTGTGAATTAAAGTGTCAATTACTGATATACAATGATTCATAGCAGAGTTTTCTGTGTCCTTCTGTCGGACCAAGGTTACTTCTGCTCATCCCCTCTCAAGGGATTGGCCTGAGGGAGGAACAAGGACTTCTCACTGAAAAAGTCTTCATTATGAAAATTATTTTGCAATGTATCAACATCCTTTGGATTTGACAACATTTTGGATACTTCACAAAGACTATTTTCTTGTTCTACCACCAGATGGTATGAATTTTTAGTAGGAGATGCAAATTCCTTTTGCATCATTTTGGTATTTTTATATTCTGCTGCAGACAGTATCCCTCTAGATGCAATAAATGTACTTGTTTTAGTATTTCAATGCATGTTACCCAAAATCAGGTAATACATGTAAAGCTTGATTTCAACTGAAGAAGAAAACCAACCAAACAACAATGAACCACATTATTCTGCAGTACAACATGGAAAATTTATTTTATTTACCTTGTCATATAATCTTGCTACAAAGGGAAGTGGTTGCAGATGTTACAGCAAATAGAACCAGTCATCAACACATGAAAGTTATCCCCAGCTCTGCTCTTATGCTCATCTTAGCTTCTTATTTTCCTCAAATTACTTCACTGATCGGACAAGTTCCAGTCTCTTTCACTGTGTATACCTAGAATTGGTTACATTTCTTCTCTCCTTGTTTCCCTTTCCCACCTTTACCTCCCAAACCAGAGAATGTGCTGCCTTAATGCTCTAAGTCCACTCTGGGTGCATTTGAGCCCACTTTAAATATGCAACCTTAATCAAGCTTTCTACAGATTTATTGGCTAAAATTCAAAACATTTATTCCATCACTGTGCTTTGCATATTGGATGTCCTTGACATTGTTGATTATGTCTTTCCTCTGGAAAGCCTCTCTTCTACAGTATATCGCTTCTTTCCTCTTACATGTTCATTCTTTTTTTTCCCCTTTCCCTGTTCAGTTGCAGGATGTCCCAGACTGAAATATCAACACTTTCTTTCTCTGGCACAGTATTTGAAGAGATTATTTTGTATAAAGATGGAAATAAATATAAATATATCCCTAGTGATTCATAAATACACATCTTGGATTTCTTCCATCCAAATTAGAGTAGAAATACTGTCTTTCTAAAATCTACTCAGGAGTGTCCAAATATGAACTTAACACTGCCAAGATGAACTCTACTTTTTTTTTTTTTTTTTTTGTGCTCAAGTGTCCTCTTTACTACATCAAGAGAACTATCAGCATCACTGTCTTCTTTGATACTCTAATCCATAATATTGGTTACATCTTTGAACGTCACACTTTGACTCTCATAATTAGGCTGGACATGAAATCACGTTGTCTCTTTCTGCAAACCACCTCTAAAATGACCAACAAAAATCTAAGTATCTTGCTCATTGATAATCTCTTCTTAGGCTTCAATGCCTACAAGTCTTATTTTCTCATACTGATCCACATGAAATTATCTTCCTGCTTCATTACTTAATTGAATCAACTACTCATCTATCTTTCCATTAACTTCCATTTTCATTGATATAACTCCTAAAAGTTTAGACTTAATGCTTCTGTTATCACATGACTGCTCCTGCTTTTGTCATAATATCAGCTTCAACTGCATAATTTCCAAAAATAATTTACTTTTCCCATCATCCCTTATGAGAGAAGATAAACTTGTAAGCAAAATCCAGAGTCCACTCTTAATACCCCTCTTAAAATTAATCTCTCAGATAAGAGATATAACAAAGCACAACTTGAGAATGACTTTGCATAATATTTTCAGTCTGTGACAGATTCTAGTCCTGTTCTTCATCTTACTGCTTGATGCAGCAAATAAAATATAAAATATATAATATATACTCCAATATAAGTATCAAATGACAAAAGCAAGAACCAAACCATTTTTGAGAAAAGAAATTAAGCTGTTAATGACCTTGCCTAAAACTCAGACTAATACTTCACAGGAAGATCTTGCAGACTTTTCCAACTATAGGGATGAAGACAGAAACAAGGTAATATATTTTCAGCTATGAAAGACTCTATGGTCTATGGTTGTAATTCTGAATGAAAACACTGGTAATTTTTGCCCTTAGAATTTATTAATTTTTTAGGGGAGGAAAAAAAACAAACCAAACATTTGACTGCTGTCACTCAGGCTCTCTGTTACAAACTTCAAATTAGCAGGATCAGACTAATAGACTTAAAGGCATCATACACCAAACCTTTCTATGGACTGCTGAATTTATATTTGGACTAGTCTTTTAACTAAAAGAGACCAACTTTTATGAACTATTATGAAATAAAGTAATGGAAATCAGCCTAGAGGGATGGAACAGAATTTGTCTTGCAAGTGTACAAATGTATTTCAATAGCTACATAACTTTATATTTATGAGAGACAATAAAACAACTGCCAGGATAACTCCTTAATCCTGCCTATACTGAATATTTAACACAAAATTGCCTATCCCCTTGTTCTGTGAAAAGTTCTTTTGAAAGAGGCATCCTAGAGACCTAATTACATATAAGCACTGCAGTTAATTAAGATATGTATGGCTCATCTATTGAACAGTCATTTTTGCAAAATTAATTATAGCTTTGTTCACTGCATTCTGCAGTGAAGAATACTAATATTTAAATTTCATATCAGTATAACTCAAAATTTAAAGATATTAAAAACGTGAATTTTCATAACCCTCTTCAATGTATGCATTTTTATGCCCACTTTACATTCCCCATCAAAGATCAGAGGCACGGGACGGTTCCCCAAAGGCAAGTATTTAAGTACGAAACCAAGATATTTAAAATTTTAAATTTCACAGTATCCAATCCAATGGATACTTTTTTAAGCCACATTGCTCCTCTGAAAAAAGGGAAGAATTAATTGGTAACTACAGATAGTGCCATTGCAAAACAAGAAATGCTTCATATCAGTAAAGGTACATGGAAACAAATATAAAATCAAAGAAAGATACTGTCACCAAGAACATAACATTGTTGAATAATAATTTCTAAGGCCAAATCTGTCCCATATAACACTGAGGTCTTCTCTTTGACTTTCTTTTTAAAGAAAAGAAATTCTGTATAATACAATAATTGTCAAAAATAAGCATGATTGATATCACAAAATGTAATAAGTTTGCATGCATGCTGAATGTGTTTTAAAAAACACATTACAAAGCACAGACACATGGGTTTAAGTCAGGCATAGTCCAATCATGATAAAGCTTTTTGCCTAACCTTTATGGAACTTACTCTGATAGGAAGTACGGATCCGTTTCGTTAAATCTGGATAAAAGTTAGACAGGCCACGCATGCAAAAGTTGTCTTTGGAACATGCCAGTACACCAGCATCAGCAGCAGGCAGAGGAAAGAGAGAAAAAACAGTCTAAAGTGAAAGGAAGTGATATCATAACCAGCATCTAGAACAGCCAAGGTGAAGAAATTTCAGCAGATGCTTACCTTTCAATTGGGAGATATAACAAGAAAAATAATCAAAAAAGTAAAGGATGTGGGATGGATGGTGAGAAAGCAGCTGAGGCTTTTTTTAGATGCATAGCTTTTATGAGTAATCTAGAAGTTTCAATCCTTCTTAGTGGCCATTTATCCCCTGTGGGCTCCATTCTGGCAGCACTGGATAGCTGGAATGACACCTTGAAGGATTGGCCCAGACTGCCACTTGACAGAGGAAAACCCTCTGTGATACAGTGCTGATAACAGCTTTTTCTACATGACCAATCCTCCACCTTTTGTACAGAGTTCTGCAGCACGTTGCTTGTGGCTAGCTACTCACATTTCTTAGGGAACTGCTGTGAGGCTGCCTGAAACCAGACAGAGAAGCTGAAGGTAGCTTGAAGCTGCTTGTCTCTTCTCTCCTCAGCTGTGCCAAGTTTACATATTTAACACTTAGCACAGATGGGAAATAAGCTTGCCATGATTAAATGCATAGAAAGTGAGATAAATGGTCTTTCAGGATCAGAAGTAGGCCTGAAAACCTGTATTTTACTCTATAAATTTTCCTCTAGATTTTACTTTCTGTTTGGAGTATAAACACATTCCCAATTAAAAAATATATTTTCCCCATAATTCTATGGAGAAGTAGGATTTCATGATACAGTGCAGGGTCTGCTGATGGAAATGCTGATGGCATAAACCCACTATAATCTCTTGCTTTTATAATTTTAGGGTTAGATTTAAAACTCCACACTTTCAAAGATATTTTAAAATCTAATTGTAAAACTTCACAACTATGCAAAACACATTTCATAATTGTGTCTGACTGTTGAATGTTACTATGGAATATGTCAAGTGGAAAGACTTGAAACAGATGATCTGACTTTTTCTCATACAATTAAATGTTCAGATAACCAACAAAGTATGGTAAAATTTAGCTCTACTGAAGTATTAATATTTACAGTACAACGCATAATAACAGTTATGACTTACTGTGATCCTCTTAGCAGCATATTTTAAAATTTATATTGTCGGTTTATATTAAGAACTTCACTAATGAAATACTTAATTTGAGCTCCTTGTGTTACCTACATAACAAGCCTCCTAGGTGTTACACATCTCTAAACACAGCTGACTATTCAAATTAATAGCACCTGGCAGAAGGTACATTTAAGCTTAAATTCAAGTCTTAGCGGTATGAACTTACTGAAACCAGAAAGAAAACAGCATACAAACTACACTTCAGGTGACTGCCAGAGAAACAATTTATTGCGCTGCTCATTATGATTTTTTACAGACTCAGCTAAGGGAGTTACTTGCTGACCTCCATCCCAAAAAGAAAAAACAAAAACCTCATAAAACATTTTATTTCTGGGAAAGTGCCTGCACCTAGAGCATGTCAAGTTTCTTTTGCCAAGTTATAGAAACTCCATTGGCCGGCAAATACTCATGCATTCCAAAAGCACTAGAAAAAGCCACAGGCAAAAAAACCAAAGAAACATATCAGGCTCATAACCACAATGATTTATTTCCTACCTGCAGCAAACTGCCTGCTCTTGCGAGGTGAGCGGGGCTGGCGCTGGTATGGATCGCTGGATCCATAGAGGTCGAGGGTGCCCATGCTCAGCAGAACCGTCTTCTGCATGAAATCCACAACAGCCAAACCATTGCAGTTCCCAAAAGCCACTCTGCAAAGAGAAACGTCCCTCAAAAGTGTTAGTAATATGGAATTAAATTCTGAAAACAATAATAATTGTTATTATGAACAGTACACAAACTTTTTCTTCAGGAACTATTCAAGCTCACGTTTTTTTACTTCTTATAGATTTGTAAACCTGAATTTTAAAGACTGTTTTCTGAATTAACTTTCCAGAGAGCAGACTTAGAACTTCTACCAACTTGCTGTTTCAAACACATTGCAGTAATGTCTAAACATTGCTTCACTGAACAATGTAATTCTAATAATAATATCAATTAAGCCTAAAAATAGGGATGTAGATATTAAAAAGTGTTTATGCCTTTATTTTAAATACAAATAGAGATTAAAATAGAAATATAAATAATCTGTATAATACAAATAAATACAAATACATGTAAAAAATAATTTTAAAGCTAAATGTAAATGACAAATTAAATATATTGGGCTGTATTGTGGAGATACCCAAATCTAAAAGGCATTTATATAATTTCCTTCCAACTCTGTCAGCTTATATACAGCAGAAATTCCTGTTAAAACAGTCTCTACACCTCTGAAATGTTTCTGCAAATGCATTTTGATGGTTTGATTTATGGGCAAGATCTCTCTTCTTCTGTATCAGACTGCAATTTTAAATTCCAGACAGAAAGCATTGCAGGTACAGCCACAAAAAAACTCAAAACCCAAACCATGTTCAATCATATTCAGAATCACTTGCTATCAGGTTCTGTCATTTTATGTAAAAAGTGATTGAAATGGTTAGTTGAAATCACTGCAAAATATTTAAGCACTTAATTCACACTATAAGTGAGCTGTGCACTCACCTCCACCTGACTCTTCCTAATGTATCTCTAAAATATCTGAAAGGAATTTGTGTGTGGAAAAACAACAATGCAAAATAAAATGAGGTGGAGGGAAAGCACCTCATTACTAGGGGTAATAGCTAGAAAATTTTCTTCTGTCCTATCTTTTCTTACACTGCTTCTACTATAAAAAAGAGGGTTCCATATAGCAAATAAAAAATTAATATTTAGAGAAAAATGAAATTATTTTTTCTCAATTGTCAAACTAACAAATTAAGGCACCATCTTCAACAGTGGCTTGAATCCTACAGATTGTTACTACACCGTGTTTACGGTTGACCCTTGTCTCAACACTGACTGCAGTACAGCACCTATGGAAATACTATGGATGCACCCTGATTTTTCCCCACTGATGTTTTTTTATCCTGACTGGTGTCTTTCAGGAGCCGTACTGTGACTAGTACAGCTTAATGCCTTTACCAGTGACAGAGAGAATAGAATCAAGGGCATCCTCAGTAAATTTGCAGACAGCAGCAGGCTGAGATGTGCCTGAGGGACAAGTGCCATCCAGAAGGACGTGGACAAGCTTGAGAAAAGGGCTCATGGGAATGGGGGTAATGGTTTTAGATTAAAAGAAGGTTGATTGTATGTGTTTGTAAGTACCTGCATTCTGGGTGAATAAAAAAAGAAAAGGAATAAAAATGACAAGTGTCAATCTCATCTTTTAATACTTTAGGGAAAAAAAAATAGCCATTTGCACTTTGAAAATGCACCTGAGATTTATTAATTTTGGAAAACAAAAGTCATAAGAAGAGCTAGTGATCATTCATACCCCTGGTCAGCAATTTAACAAAATGTATGATTTCCTCGTCTGGATTTTTCTAAACTCCTCTAATTTCACACACAATATTATATTCTAATATTTCTTATACCAAAACAAATTGCTTTAAAAAATAATCTGAAATTGCTCATTAATAACGCTTCTGATTACTATTAACAAGGCATAAGATCAATTGCTAACAACCAAGTCCTTATGAAATCAAATACAAAATAAATTTCTCAGTTTTGAGCAATGAACAGAATCAGTTGCTAGGTGATATTCTATTCTGTTGGTATCTTTCACAGAAATGTCATAAAACCCTTACCAGACATTTCATGACAATTAATATGCAGATTAGCTGAAAACTGTTAGCCCATGAGCCAGTAACAAATTTTCTGTGACTGCCTTCAGTCCAACAGAACCTACTTCAAAACAAATTTATTATTTGTATTTAACCTTGTTCCTCAAGGTTAACCTAGTTCTTCAGTTGTAATTGAAGCATTTTGTAAAATTTCGTTTTCTACTTTCATAACATGAAGAAGTTTTTGATGATTCATTTCAACATAAATAAAACAGGTGTTAATACATTTAATTTGGAGCCTTGGTACTGTTAAAACTAAATACATAAATAAAATTTTGCAGTGTCTGAAGTCTCATCTTTGCTGGGAATAAATGTTTTTTTTGCATTTCACTTTATTCTTGTTTCATGGCTGCAGCAAAACAGTTCCAGAAATCAAAATAATTAAAAGAATACTTGAAACAGACTCTCCAGAACACACACCATTTTATGTCTTTGACCTAGTTAAACTGATTAGTATAGAAAGAAAAATTAGGCGAAAGATGACCCAAATATCTCTACAATTTAGCATGACAAAAATTACATGTTCTCAGGCTTCATGCTGAAGTGGAACAGGTTTTTCCATATTATGAAGATAGATAACAGGTGACAAAGTAGTAAGCAAAATTTCTGATGAAAGAAAGGACTGTGCCTTGTCATAGGCCTGAGGAAAAAGTTAAGAGAGACAAGAGAAAGGAAGACAGAAGAGAGTCTGCAGAAAAAATATAAGAAGAAAGACCTTTCTTGGGTAGATTTTGTAGGAAAGCTAAATTTAGATTATCAGCCTACTTTATCCATACATGCATTTATTTCTGAAACACTCTTGTACTTAGCTTATGGTGTTTTAAAGGAGGCTGTCCTGTAAACTATTACTACTCCTAGCAAATGAAACAATTTAAAGCACTTGACTGAATCAAATCAGTGGTTTAGGAAACCACTGTGACCAGTAGGAGAACCATTACCTATTGGAGTAGTTTACAAGTGAGAGAATGGTGTGATTATTCAGATGCTGCCTTGAGGTCTGAGACCTGCAAGGGAGCAAATCAGGCAAAACCTAAAAATTTGCACAAGTGATAAATGCATCAAGGTATGGTAAAGGAAAGAAACTCCTAGAATTCATTAATAGGAAACGATCTAGAAATTCAGGCTGAAAACTTGAAAAAACAGCACTCAGAAGACAGTATTCTTGCAGAAATGTAAAAACTCTGCATTAAACTGCCAAAGACTAAAAATAATCCAGTGACTTCCTGAAAATCAGCAGGAGTCAGCACCTAACACCCATTAGAGCCAATAGTTTTATTGGAGTAAAAACTACAGAGAAAACCATTTTAATGTATGAGGGTGACTCTCTGTAAGAGAAAACATTAAAAATTTGCAAATAAACTGAATTTGAGGAAACAATTACACACAGTCATTTGAATTGCCATCCAGAATACAGCATTTAAATGTTCCTTATTCAATTCTCAATTTCAGGTCACAGATTCTTGTGCAAACAGACATTAGCACAGACATAAAAATGCTGCTCTCAGAAGACAATTTCCAACCAAGATATGATGTCATGATAAATGGCATTTAACAGTTAATCACTTCACCATTTTCCATTAAATGTATTTCACCTTGGTTAACCTTTCAAAATAACTTTGAAAATTACAGATTTGAAATGCAATTAGATCTTATTTGAAAGGATGGAAAGAATTATGCGAAAAGATTCAGTCTTTTAAATAGGATTAGTAAAAATATTGGCAATAAATGGCAGTTTAACATCCCATATTACAATCTCTATGTCAGTTCAAATAATTTTTCCCTTAGACTCTGATTAACAGCATCTTTTGAATACTTTGCTTTGACCTTAATTGTCTGTAGGAAATTTCAAAGTATAGTTGGAAAACATGTTATTTAGTGCAATAAACAATAAATCAATGCAACCTTAATTGTGAGAAACTTACAGTCCATAAGCAGAGTTTACAGCAAGACTGGTAATCTGTTGTGGAGGCTCACCATCCACCCACACCAACTGGATAACGAGATCTGCCTGGTAACCAGGAGGCATCCGCACAGGTCGAGCCTTAACGCTAAGAAGAAGAGGTACAGAATAAGAACAAAGAAAACCATTGGGCCATGAAAAACAACTGCTTTGCACCATTATAAATTGTCAACTTGAACGCAAAATCTAAAATTCTTTCTTTTGAGACTTTGCAGAAGGACATTTCTGTGTACTTGGAATTTTTTTCTTCTGAAGTAAAGCATGACAGAAAAATGCCAAGAAGTAAGAGAAGAAAAGAAGGCACACCTTTCTGTAGTGGTCCTCACCAGAGCATATTAAAAACTTAAGGACTTGACAAATCTATTTGTCCATGTAATGAAAACAAGTCCTGTTTTATTTCTAGGAGTACAATGACCTAATATGTGAATGAACAGTTCCTACACCAAATCTGATATAACTATTAAGTGTTATGGCAAGTTCAGTGACTTGCAAAGCAGGTAGTGAAGGTGTACATTTTAAGGGGAAGTGTAAGAGCTGAACACCTCTGTATGACTGCTTTATGTGCTTCTTTGTGTGGTACAATAATGTGGGATATGCTGAAAGAAATCATTATGCAATAATAGCAATACTTTGATGCATTCATGTTGGTCATTAGTACATTCATACTGTAGTAGTAATTTACAAGTAAAACCCACTAGTAAGTGCATTTTCACTGTACTGTTACTGGTGAGAGTGCTTGTGTGCACCCCTTTGCACACAGGCATAAAATAGGGCAGTCTACTTTATGAGAAAGTCATTCCTCATCTATTCTCTAAATGCATTTCCTGAACAGCGGCTTGGCACACTCACTGTTCTATTTCTTTTCCCAGTAGTACTCTTCAGACCTTTCATGTGTATTTGTCTGGAGCAGTAATCAGGCACTTGGCTTGGATCTTGTTGTAGGAAAGACATGACAGTGCAGTTCAGCAAGTGCTCAACCCACTACAGTTTGCAATAGCTTTGTATTGCTGTTTTCTATCAACAGCAAACGTCTGCTCAGAGTTTTGCAATTTCTGACCTGTTCTGCTGGCACTAAAGCTTTGCCCTTTTCTTTCTTCATTTGATAAATATCCATGAGCATTTCTGAAGTGATGCTATTCATAACCTTAATGAAGCAAGCCCTGGATTACCCAGGAGTATTTGTGCTGAGAACAAAGGTGTGAACATCTGTGAACTCAAGCTGCTAAGGGAGAAGGGTCCTTTGAGACCAGGATAAACTGAAACTGCAGACAAGAGTTGTATACAGTAAAGATGCATTATTTTCAAAGAAACTTCACAGCAAGCAGAAGCTGAGTATTTTACAAACAGTCCTTCAGAGTATGTTTGTGATGGAGCCCTTCAACTTCTAATGTCTGTGGATAAGCCTCTAAGAGGCATAGTAGTGGTTGTCTTTCCATCTTGTACCCCATTTTCAGCTTTCGACTCCTGCCCTTAAAAATGCTAGAAAAATATAGAACAGGTAAATGAAATCCAAGAACCAGGAGTTAGTCTAATGCCCTTTCAGCTGAGCTTTCCATCTATATTTTCTAATGGAAAACTGATGGTGTTGGAGAACACAAGAGGCAAGCAGGCTGCTCCAACAAGTATCTGTGAAAGCAATGCATTTATACTTTCCTACTTCTAAACAAGTTACCATGAGACTGACAATGTCTGCAGAATTAATTCCGATCTTCAAAACATGTTTTTTAATGTGGCATTACTTTTCCAACGTGTTTTTAATGGCATGCTGAAAAAATTGGAGAACTTGAAGTACCTTCTAAGTTTTCTTTTGGACTGCTGTCAGCTGAGGTGAAAAAAGCAAACACCTTTCCCTCTCAATATTTTTCACTGCAAATTTGAGGATCTGCTTTAATAAAAATGAATATTATTTCACAGGGATTTTCTCTAAGCATAGAATAAACTGCAGGTGGTGAAAGACTATAATAATGGAGTAAAATAATTTCAGATTTCATGATTAAGGTTGTCATTTCCATGTTTCTGTGACATCTTCCTGCTCAAGAATCTTTGAGCTACTTCCCTTGTTTCCCTAACCATCCATCTTGAACAGTAATACAGGTATTCAGTTCTGCACCTTATTTTGGATGGCTTTTTATTTGAAGTGTTTATAATAAAAGCCTAAGCAGACTGCAGGAGTAGCAGAAGGAGCAGAAGGAATGTAGACATTACAGGCTATACTGAATTTCATTGTTGCAAAGTTTTGGTTTTTACTTTTTTTCAAAAGATATTCACAGTTCCTTATCACTTTAGAGTTACTTGCAGCTGCTGTCAAAACCCTTGATTGACCTAATTTTGGGATGATACTAGAAGTCTAGGAACAAAGACTGACATTCTGGGTACAGCTTTATGATAACAGCATTTACATCAAAAGTATTTGTCTGCATAATCACAAATCCATTGGTTTCTTAGGTTATTACAGCTGCCTATTTCACTGCAAAATCTTCAGAAAGAAGCAGGAACAATATTTACTCTGTACTGCTGCCTGCCTCTCTTGGTAACAGCTACTTTTGATTTCAGAAAAGTGCCAAGTTTTCTTTACTTCAGCCCCTCCATCTACTTTCTTCCTAGTAGCTATTCACAGACACAAACACATTCAGTCATTCTGACTTCTGGCTAGAAAAAATTATGTAGTGTGGAGTGCCTTTCATTTACTGTAACAATGTTGAGAAGCAGATATGAAAAGAAACATAATGGAGCCAGTTAAGTATGTGTGTAAAATTTTATGTGCATTATCTATAGTTCAAGCTGTGCACTCACCCTTCATGTGCAGGTGGCTGCAGCTTTACATTAATATTGCTCTATTTTACATTCTGTCCTGCTGCCCACCTGAATGACTTGCATATAATGTCAACAGCATCACCCTGGTCTTCACTGTTTTTTTCTGTGTTTTCAGCACTACTTTCATTTTACCACCTAATTCTGCTTAGATCAGAATTATTCTGGTTTCTTCTCATTTCTTAGACAGACAAGCCTGTGGACCAAACCGAAGTTTGGGAGAAAAGTGTGGATATTTGTATGTCTTTTCTGAGAAGAATAATAGTATACATAAGTATACTTTTTATCTAAATGTAGCAGAGTGCCAGTAGTTCTAGTGGCAGAATTATTCTGACTTTGAAAAATTTCTTCTCAGTCAAAATAAGATTACAGTTACCTTGTGTAAAATTGGAAAAAAATCTATTGGCCAGCTTAATGTGAGATTATTTGAGTTAAGAAAACTTCAAAACACTAACAAGCTGAACCTCTGTGGTTCATTACAACTTTTCTGCCTCCAACATCAACAATTCCTCTCTCCCAGACAAAATCAAGTAAGAATTTCTTAAGTAAAAATCTTAGCCAGTGAAATGATAAAATGATTGCATTCTTCCTGATATCAATGTCATAAATAGATTTCACATTTTGATTTTTTTAATAACTGATTTCTGCCTCTTCTGTTGATTTTCATAGTTCAAATTAATGATTAAACTGAGGTCTGAAGCTCAACTGCCTGATTGAATGAGGTGGACAAATGAACAGAATGCCAAAAGATAATGTTAATTTTACAAGGACAATATCACAATATTGCTTTTAAATGCTAATGCCATTTTCAGGAGCCAAGCAGCCCAAAGTATCTGCAAAATCAGGAAATGTTCATTTTAACTGCTTTTGAGATAACTGAGGCATTTAAAAGATTTAAAAATAATTAGACCAAAATAATAATGAACTCACCAAAATGAGAGCAATTGTTGTCAGCAATGCACTCTAATTGCTGGAAAATTACAGTTTATAGAGTTTTGTACAGAATTATTGTTTTAAACTATTCAAATCCATAATTATCTGCCTTATTAATAAGAACATATTAATCTACTCCAAAACAGTGACAATGTATTCTAGCAGAAAACAATTTGCTTCTTTCTAAAGATTAAACAAATATACACTTCCACACAGCGTGACTGTTTCATAACTGTATATTTTAAAGATTGTTTCGTAAGTACGAACACAGTTTAATGTGCTTAAATGATGCCTTAAACATCATAAAACACATACAGTTCTTACATAAAAAAAATAAAAATTAAGTGTTAAATTAATCAAGGAGAGAAAGCTTTGCATGTGCTGGCTTTTATGGAAGTTTCATCATGAACTATCCTCAGAAATTCCTTGAAGATTTACTCCTAGATCACACAGAAAATGACAGTCAAACCTTTACTGTAACAGTTTATATTCTTCACAATTACTTTTATTCTTTTAAAATCTCTTGCTGATTTACTTTGCTTTAATTACTTTGTTTCTTATTCTGGTTTCTTCTCTTTTTGTGTCACTTACATACAACTAATCTCTTTTTCTTGGGAATTGATGGATTGACTAACAGATAAGAATGCTTTTTAGAAAGATCAATATTTAAACAATGGCATAGACTTACCTAAGACATGGGATACTGTCCTTCATCGTTCCTTCACATGCTACAGTGTTGGTACTGCCTGAAAGGCTCTTTAAAGAAGGAAGCTGGGAGGAGGCATCTGGAAATGGAGGATTTGTTTCTGGTTCAGGAGTAATGATGTCTTCTACTTCGCATTGAAGTCGTACCTCTAATGACTTAAATAAATAAAAAGCTAAGTTATCATTTCATAAGGAAAGCTGCTGAAAGTTCTGTTACTTTCAAATATCAGTATGCCTTTTTAAAAAAAATAACTCTCATTCATCATTATAATTTGCAGGCAAAGAATACTGTCATTTGTTATGTATACGGAGTACACAGCAACAACAGATAGGAACTAGAATGCTCACCAACTCTGCCTCCTGATTACTCGTACAACAGTCTCTACCAGACAAGTTTTAGCCAGGATGGATAAGCCTGACAGTGTGAATAGTACAGATACATAACCTTCATTTGTGCATAGGTGGGGGCCAGGAAATCAGAGATTACAGCACAGACAGCTCTGTGTTCCTTAGAATGAACATGAGTTTGGTGGATTCTAGAAAGCAAATTCAAACCAGTTACCTTTTGCTTTCCTTCTGGCCTCTCCAGAAATGGAAAAAGAGGCCAAACCACCCTACAATTCTCTCCACTAATTCAAGAAATACTAACTGAAGGACTCCAGGGAAGAACTGGACAGGAAGTTCAAATCTAGTTAAGTAAATACTGAGCAATTCTTTCTACCTTATCAGTTGCCCAAGGAAATCCTCATTTTGAAAATAATAAAAACCAAGATACAGCTCTCAAAGAGGCAAGGTCTGGGGATTACTAGCTGAACAGTACTTTCAGTGCTGCTACATTGAAAGGAATAGAAGCAATTGCAGTGTAGGTCCCGCAAGCTCAATCTTAGTGATCTTCCATTGAGACATCATCTGTACCAGAATGAAAATTTAAAAAATAGCTAAATTTCATGAGAATCTGGAGATAAAGGTGAGTAGCACTGAAGGGTCACTCGTTCCTCAACCACTGTGCTAAAACACACAAGGTTCCAGAAAGAAGTGATTCTGTTCAACCAGGAGAGAGAGACCTTTCTCAAAATTTCACTTTTGTTTTCTCCTTTCAACATCCATGGATATTTTGTGCCTGAATCAGTTAAAGAAACCTACAGACAACATTTGCCTTCAAAGACTAATGAGTGAAATATTGAGTTCAGGAAAAGCTAATCTGGAAGTAATTGCAGCTGACTGAAACAATTTATAATGCTGTTTAATCTTTATGCAGGGCTGGAGTAACTGTTGAAGAGTATGTTCTGTTTGCCATGGTAGAAGTGCATCACTCTTCTTTCGATGTTTTTCTGCATGTATTCCTTTTTCCACTAAAATTAATTTTGTTAAGTTCTATCTGTTGCACATTTGAAGAGAGAAGGAAAAATTCAGGCTGAAAACATGATTGTGAATTTTTCTTATCTTTTTGTCCCTGCTTGCACTGGAGCTTAGGAGGGTTATAGAAATGTTGAACCGATTTATTTTGACACAGAGTAATGATATTTTTGGGGGATCTCATCACTAGGACTATTGATTCCTCCTTCCACATTCAAATGAGTGTAAACTCTTTTCCTATGTTTCTTCTCAAAAGCTTTGAAGAGGACCTTCACTGAAGAAAGACTGCTCACTGAGAAAGTGATCATGTTTAATCAATAGATCCTTTTGAGACAGGATGGACTCAGATAAGAAAACAAAAATAACAGCATCAAATGCTTTTTATATAACTGCATGGCAATGACTCCAAGGTTGGATATGAAGGAGAATTTGTCTCATGCATACTCCTTGTCTCCAAAATCTGATATGAAATGATGCAAATAATACTTCTGTTGAGGAAATTCCAGGCACAGCCTATTGCCCCTAAGGCATATTCAGCTGTAGACGTCCTTGCTACACAAAGCAACCTTTGAGTAGCCCCCACACTTCCCATTTACCACAGCAAAAACATTGCAACACTGACATAGGGCAGTCAAACCAATGTGGGGGCCTTAAAATTCTGGGATTTATAGACTGAATTCAACGTAAGTTCAGTCTGGCTGATAAGAAAGGACACAAAGTGCTTTGTACCTCAGGCAGCAAAGAAATCCTGAGACTGGCCAGCTCAGACTCAGTATAGACAAAAAAACACACAGCCTAAAGTCAGGTGCAGATTGCAGCAAAGAATTCCATACTTTTGATTAAAAACCCCTCCCATCATTTAGAGCAAAGACTTGAACACAAGTAGCAAAAATGCAGAAAGAAGAGAGAAGACCCATTTCAAAGATGCACAAAACCCAGGGGAATTCTGTGACTGAGCCACCAAGATTGCATAATTTAATATTCAGAGAAAAATGCTTATTAATTACAGATGAAATCTGAGAAACTGTTAAATTGCACATATTATATATAACACTTTGGAAAATACCAGTATAATGATGCATTTCAGCCAGAAAAGTGAAGGACAGGGAAAAAAGACATTAAATTATAGATAATAAAAGATAAGGTGCACTTGCTGTGGAACAATGTAAGAATACTGAAATGGAGTAATTTTAGCAGCATTATACATGAGGTGGTCAGTAACGTGAAATTACTGTTCATCAGTTTTAAACCTTTCCTGAAATAATACATTCAGCCAGCTTAATAAATACCTGATAGGGGTGGAGAAAAGAGTGGAAAACAACAGAGCTACAGGTAATGAATATCTATACAGAATGGCACATGCTACAGGCCAAAAATAACACAGGTTTTTGCCACAGTAGAACTTTCTAAAGTGCACTAAAATAGTGTGAAGAGGTAAAGAACTATAATCAGGGAAGGTGACAAAAAAGCTGGCATTTCATATAGTTTCCATCTTTAGGGAAACAACGTCAGCATAAGCCAGAAACAGATCAACTCGTTTTGTTAAACCCACTGATAATTTTCAGTCTCCTTAAGAACAGAAATTAAAGAGATGAAATACTTGAGCTAAAAAGAGCATTGTGCACGTACACAATTTACATTAACTGATAAAAACATACAGCAGACAGTAATTTTAGAACAATTTAGGTAAATACAACAGAGGTTACTGTATCATAAAATCTTAAAAGCAAACCATGTCTGAAAGCTGCACTGTATGTTACTACTAAAGCAAAAAGAAAGTGGAGAGTAGATTCCCAAACCCTCAGATTTTTGTCAGTAACTGAAGTAGGATCAAGATTTCCCTGGAAAGGGTCCCTAAACCTGTATTTATACTGCTTGCTATTTTTATTTAAGTACTTGAGCACAGACGAAGCAAGGCAATTTGATTTAGAAATTATAATCTAAGAGAGTGAAATGAGTACTTACTGCAATTTCAGTATTTACTTCATGTTTGCTGAACCTGTAAACAATCACATATGCAGAAACTCCTGCCACACAGAAAATTCGGCTTTCAGGACACCAGTACATCATCTGAACAGCAAAAGGATCTTCTTCCACAATCTCAGCTGTTGCTTTTCCTTCTCCCACTTTCTGTTTTTCAAAGACCTTTGATGTTTTTAGTTTATACAACATCTGTAGAGTAACTGGAATATATTAAAACATATAAAAAATACTAACATGAAGCAAATCAGTTACAAAATTCCTCAGTTCCCACTTTCTTCTCAGTTGTGGCATAACAAGGAAACTTAGGAAATCCTAAGAGGAAAAGATGTGTATTAAACAATTGTCCAAATCAGGACAACAATACAGATACTATTCTGGTAAACATTATTGGTAAGACATGTATTTAATACTTCTCAAAAGGGTATTTGTCTGTGAAATACTTAGTACTTTCTGGGGAAAAGTGCCAAAGGTGTAAATCATTGTGTCCATAATTAGGCTTATAATCAGTGCTATAGAGAGGCTCTGATAATACTGATACTTTCCTAAAGAGATGTGAAATTAAGAGTTCATTTGTCTGAGGTTATGGTCTTGATAGAATGTAGAGACTGTACGGCAATTCAGGAGAAAACATTAAGAAAGCATGCTGGTGGCTTGGTCAACACAAAATTCTTCTGAATTAATGGGAGTTCAAAAATGTTTTGAATTTCTTGACTAATAAGTAGATCTATATTTATACCTGTATATAAAATCCTAATATCCAGAAGCTTTTGTCAAGATTTGAACTCAACTGCAGCAAATTCCAAAGGCAAAGGAGGGGTGACAATTCACCCCATTATGTTTCACATTCTTCCCTGTTTTTACTATAGAAGTAGTAAAACTTTTAGTTTCTCAGTGGCATTAATCAGTAGCTGCATAAGGTTAGAAAAACCCAGTCAGGTCCAGCAACTATAAAGGTGTGCATATCCATGTAGGCAAAGCTGCTGCTAATGTCAGTGTAATTGTGGTGGCTCAGCATGGCCAGCTTGTGTAACAAGAGCAACAGGAAGATGAAAGGACAGTGCTTTAGTTATGTAACCAGATGATGAACACAGCAAAAATACATTTTTGTTTGGCAGTGCAGATATATTCCAGGAGGTTTAGCATATACAATTTTTAATGTTTTAAAAAGTTTTAGCACATAAAGCACCTCGGAATTTTCACAAATTACAGCAAGTGCTTCTGTAATAAATACATAATTCTTCCTGCTCTCTGAAGCAAAGAAAGAGGATTCAGGTTGCTCTTAATGCCAGTAGCAAATCTAGAGTGCCACTTCAAATCAGGCATCATGGGTCCATGCACGTTATGACTGGAAGAATCATAGAATCATAGGGTACAGACTCTCTATGCTGCTCTGAATTACTGGGTCCCATCTGCACAACTAAATAAAAAAAACCAGCAATATCTTTTGAATAAAGATACATTTGGAAAACAACTCCAGTGGCCTAGCAAGTCCCTGTCCCTCACAGATCTGTGCTTTCAGACACAAGATGACACAATTAAAAGATGTCTAAAATCAAAGTATTTTGTGCCTTCAAATACCGGTAGGATATTATGATTGCTAGGGAATCTCAAATGAACTTTAAACTCCATTAAACTTCATTTACAAGGTTAACACCTTGTAAATAAAATAAATAATAAAACTTTGTAATAATCAAAACCTTGTAAATAAAGAGTACCAAGTACAGTATGAGTAACACAGTACATGCCCTGAGAAGCAGGACTAGGACCAGGACATCAGAGATGCACTGAATATACTACTAATGCTGAAGAGATTGTGAATATTCATGATCATCTCAGCTTTTAATGTTAAGAAAGATTCCTACTGCAGCATTGATTGGCTTATGCTTATATTCCCTATGAGAGGTTCTTTTCTTTCCCCATTTCTGCCAGAGTTATAGAAGGAATAACTAGCACACTGCTTCCTGTGCAGTATATACACTAAATGCCTTCGGGTCTTCCAACAGTCTGTATTGTTTCACCCTAACTTTAGAGCCTGTATTTGCACATTCTTATTAAAATGAAATGGTCACAAGACAAAATCTAATGTCTCACTGTACTTCTCTAAATAAAATTTATTATCCTACTTTTGTTCATATTAAAACTCTCAAAAGCTTCTGTTCTGCAGATAAACTGTCTATCTCATTTGATGACTGGTGTTCACCATAACTGGAAGACAGTGGAAGCTGTAAATTCTTAGCAGCATGTTTCTTCTTTCCCCACCATTTCCAAACAGACAAGCTACATAATAAAAAAAACAACCCATGGCCATGTTCAGTTGCTGTGCCTATTTAATACATGAAATGTATTTTGTGAAGTAAGGCTTTGAAAATCCTAATTTTCTCCTTGTCCATTCTGAGTGAAAATATTTGGTATTAAGTAAAAAGGCAAGTACCTGACAAAGTCATCAGGTTTAGCTAACATTAAAAACTTCTCAACATTCCCCATACTAGGCTGGAAATGGTAGCAATATTAATCATTTCAATTCTGTGTCACCATGTGGAACTAGCAGGTATTTTAAGTATCCCGTATCTCATGATCTTGGCACCAATTACAGACTGCTTATTAGGATTATATTAAATCTCTCTATGCCTAGACAATTTTCTTTCACACTCTCTTTTCTTTAACACACTAATACTTCATAAAAGAGAGGTATTACCCAGACATCCCTGTACCACTAACGAGACAAGAATACAAGTCAACTCCACAGGAAGCTTGGTGAAGTGCCATCAGTTACTTGAAGCACAATATTTTAAATTTCCATCAAAATGTACGTGCATTTTAATAAATATATTTTACTAAGGAATACCATATGTATTTTCTGTAGGGGAAAATGCTGATTGCTGATATATGCAATTATAGCTAGATTATATGGAACAAGTATTTTCTGAAGCTTTTTCTTGTTAGGATGAATGGAAATAGTTCCCAATTATTTCCTGGGATTTGAGACTAGACAAGAAAATATTTGGGTCTTTTTCACCCTCACCAGATTGACTATGTTTTGAAATATATGAATGTATTTTAGTATTTTATTTTTACTTAGCTATAAAGAAGACTTTATTGTACTCAGTATGGAAGTTACATGACAACTGGAAATGAATGTTAAATCTGAGCCCTCTCCTCTATACACACAAGAAGAATGTGCCCTAGGGATTTTTACCAACACTTCATCCTTTATAGATTTTGGTATGTTGGACCTTGAGTTATTATTATTCACTTTTTTCTGCCTAATGTATCTCATTAGCAGCATTTTTTCTCTTAACTTAATAAACATTTTCTTAATTTCACCCCTTTGTCCTAATTATATGAGCCCAACTATTACTACTCAACCCGTTAAATATCCTGTTTTATATAAAAATGAGTGTTTCTGCTATTTGTCAGCATTATGTAAAAGTGAACTTTAGAAACTTACTGGCAGAAGCATCCCAAAATTTTACTGATCCATCTGCATGGCTTAAAAGAAATATAAAAATTAAATGTGTTAAAACAAGATGCAATTCTAAAACATCATCTACTTTCATTGATTAATAAATACAAGCAGAAAAAAATTGATTTTGTTTATGGAACTCTCTATAACTTACTGATAATATGTTAAAGACATACATATTAACTATAAGAAAATATTTCGTTATTTGGTTTCATTTGGTTAACAAAATATTTTTTTATGCATTTCCTGCAGAGAACTAAGCCCCCAGTGAATTTTAAGATTGCAAAAAGAACAAATTACTTCCCAGACTGAGTTCCCTAAGTTTCAGTTACAGCACTTTGGCTTTGCAGTGGGCCAGCATCAAACCTATGCACTCTAAAACTGCCATGTACAGTGAACTTTGAAAGGACAGAATGTAACTTCATTTTGCTTGATACTTCACAACTGTGTTCTTTTTATTAACATTAAATCCCTCAAGTAAAGCTGGGAAATGGAGATACTTCTGTTTACAATGAGCGTGATCCCTTCATCACCTTCTCATACTATTGCATAACCTTCTTTTTAAAATCAGGTCTTTAGTATCATTGATAGGAACAACTCATCAGCTACATGACTGAGATCAGAGGAAAACTCCTCATACATCTTAGATGAATGGGTTCTGTTTTACAGTATGATCCCTTGGGAATCCATCAGGCACTGCTCATTGCTCCTGCTGCAATCTGAGCCTTTCTAGGTCTTTTTGCTCTGTTTCTCCACCCACAAGCTGAAATTCATCCCCATGCACCACCCCCTTACTAATGCTGAGTATTAAAATTAATTCACAAACTGTCCCCAGGCAGAGAGTCCCCGAAAGGCCAAGGGACAATATCTAAAGAACAACAGCTGCTTTCCTTTTTGAAGCTATTCTCTGTGACCTTCAATGCCAAACTATTCTCTTACAATAGATTATTTTTTTTTCCCAAAGACTCCGCCTGCACAAGCATTGCTATCTAACACTGAGGCCTCAAATGGTCATTCTTAATGGTAGCTCATCCCTGGCTACTAAGTTCTGCTTTCTACAGCAAAAGAGAATTTATGTGGTGACACTACTCAAGTGAAGAGCCAGGAAATGCATAAGCAGTGAAGTCTCAACTCTTACCTATACCTAACCCACAACCAAAAGGAGTAGACACAAATATTTAAAAAGTACCAATCCCCAGTTTCATTCTCACCCTGTAATAATGATTTCAGGATATGTCTGAGCTCCAAGGTTCCATGCTCCACCACTGATAGGCCACTCCTAAACAAATGAAAGTACAGAGATCACAACTTACTCTTATGAACGTGGTTAATTTTTAAATTCAGGAGTAGACAACATCTTCCCCCAAAAGCAATACAACTTGTAAAAGATCAAAAATATATGTAATTCAAGGCTTTTACAATTTATTAACATTTTTGTATCATCAGTTCAAGCTTTGGAAACTTAATGACATATTATCAACTAATGTTCTATGCTTCTAAAATATTTCTGCACAGCTAACATTCAACAACCTAAAACAGGAATGAGGAGGAGTAACAAATTATTCTGCTGGTCTTTTGACATGGCTTTTCTCTTGGAGATTCCATAGAACACTGAATAGACTGAGAATTTATTTTGAATACAAAGACCACTGAGGAAGCTGGCCCAGAAACAAGTATCAGAGCATGATGACATGAGATAAGAGAACACAACTTTTACAGAACATATGAGATATTATCTCTTCCTTGCCTTTTGTTTAGTAATGGCAAGATTCCCATTCTCTTGGTCTAGAACATTGCCCCATGCCTAAAGCCCTAACCTGTATGGATACAGGATACAGGCTGTAGAGGGTGACATATGTGCAGAGTGGGTCAGGATGTGTGCAAAGTATGAGGGGGTGGAGAAAAACAGGGAGCACAAACTGTGTGGATACGTGGAGTGGATGCTTGTGAGTACGGAAATGGGTGTCTGGCACATGAGCGACTACCTGCCCCCAGTGTGTGCACAAATAAAGCAAGGGCACAAGAGAGGATGCAGGGAACACAGGTAGGTGTGCAAAGTGTATGAGGTAAGGGTAGATTCAATAGGAGAAATGAAAATATTTTCTGAAGTACTTTTGTGAGCCAAGATCCAAAAGAAGTAGAGAGGGTTCATTCTCTGAGTTAATGGAAAACAAGCCAGTTCCAAGGATAATACTTCTGTCGATTTGAATAGAAAATTTATGATGTCTGACTTGTTTACCCAGTATTTTTTTCTACTTTCTTTATTAAAATGGATTAGTTCTAGCCAAAATAAAATCCAGTTTAAAGCTTAAAATTTACAAATTAATTGTATTTCTTCTTTTACTTCCTGCAGCTTGTCTTATTTCTATAGCATTATGGTAAGACTTTGGTAGCTCAGTGAAAGAATTATTATTATCCCTATTTAATAACAAATCTCACAGACACTGTCAACTCTCACTGAACCTCTTTTTCTTTGATAGAGAACCTATCCATACAAATTTGAATTGTACACTGATGGCTCTCCTTTAACACAATCTGATCTGGAATAACTCCAGCATCTTAATGATTAAGTCCTATCTAATGGTAATTAATGGTTCTTGTTAAGTGGTCATGTTTCTGAGGGACAAATACTGGACTGTAATCAGACTGCTAAACTGATTATTAAAGGAGTAAAACAAAAATAATTTGGTTAGATGTTACAAAAACATAGGTTACACATCTAGTTCCTTTGGTTAAAAAAAAGAATATTTGTTTTGTTTACCTTATTGCTGTATCCTTGCTTTTTATGTTTTGCTCCTACAGAATAGAGTACAGGGATCAAATCTGGAGGACAGTCCGCAAAATATTCTGTGCAGGTAACAGGTGACTCATGAATGTCAATAGGATATGGATTTTCAAAGATTGGAAAACTAGTTAAGGAAGACAATTTATTAGAAGCATTGTGACACACTGAGCCATAGAATAAAACATATTCTTTTATTAAAGTATATAACTAAGTAAATAGAATCTAAGTAAAATCACTACTAATTAAATATATTTTTTTCATTATTTATTCAAACTTATGTATTGTTTTTAATATCAGTAATAATGTGTAGTTACCCAAATAAGGACATAAAAATTCAATTGCTTTGACAAGAATCCTCTTGTTACATAAATAGTCCCGAAGGCTAAAGGTATACAGCTACCTTTATGAATGAATAAGAACTAAATTTTTTCTGACATCTCAAAATCTTATTTCTGAGAAGTGACACATCTTCCAGAAGTTTCAGGTTCATGGATATGATATATACTATGAACTACAAACTACTTTTACAGCTGTGGATTTTATATTGAACATCTTAGCTTATTGGGTTGGTAGACTTCTGATTATACAATGAAAATGCAATAACAGATGAGAAGATCTCAGTTTATTTCTCACTTCCATCAGTCTGAACAGCTTGATAAGGAGGAAAACCTCACTTTTGGCACATTACACAAATTTATTCACAACTGAAAAATATAGGAAATTGGGTTCTAATTTCAGTTTTGTCCATTTTACACTGCTGAGATGATCTGAATTACTCTTTAAAGTAAGTGAGATCTGAATATGATTCACTTAACATTTTTCAATACATTGACAGCAAAATCTGTTCCTTGTTATACCTGTGTGAGTGTGGATGTCCATAATTGGTAGTGTTGGAGGCAGAACAAAATAAATAAGAATTAGATTATGATTTACATGATGTAGAGTTCCTCCTTGGTAGGAACATTGATTCTGATATGAAAGAACTATTTGTCATTTAAACCAGCAACTGGATCATGAAGTAATTCTGTAGATCCATATAAAACAATGCCATTATTTATTAAAACACTGAGGCTGGACACGCATAAAAGTAGTTGTTGAATCTTATTTCCAAATCACATATGTGTTCAAATATTAATTAACTTTGGTGTTGAATGAATGTTTGAGGGCTGTGCTGAAGGGACTGCAGATTTAGATTTATTCCAAATTTTAAGAATACTGTTCATTAGCTGAACTTAGCTCCTAAAGTGGAAGTAAATATTTAGCAGGAGTTATTTCCAAGAGTGAATAATTTTGGATAGTTAAATTATTTGGAATTTTATGGTAATTTACTGGACAGTTAAGTACACAAATAACTTCATATAAAACTTTATACTTACTTGCTTTGTGTCAGGTCAACAACAATGAGATCTTTTTCCAAAAGCACAACTACAGCATAGGGTTCTTGAAATTCTGTAAGCAAGGAATCAAGTGTAAAAGACATGGAGTTCTCCTATCAGCCATTTTAAGCAAGTAAGCAATATTTATGTTCTTTAAGCTTTCACAGTATATTAGAAGCTTTGAGGTATAAACCCTTGACATATGCACAAACCAGACACAGCTCAAAACTAGGGCCAGAGAGGAAGTAAGAAATTACTTTTGGATAGTAATGTTGACAAACATACAAAGCAGGAGAATTGGAGTATTACAGTCTGCCAGCATGATGCTATGAAAGTAAAGAAGTAGAATGTGAGTAAGTTGTGTGTATCATTGCATTATTAAATCCAATTGTTATACAGAAAAAGTATTTTTGCTGTCCAAAAGCAATACTTCCACTATGTACAACTGCTCTTCAGAAACAGGTTGTGTAGGACACTTCATGATACACAATACCCCCATTTCTGAGGTGATTCAAGGGGAATATTCCCTATGAATCCTGTAAATCTGCTGTTTTCAATTCAGGTACTAAAATGCCTCTTCTGCCCGCACACTCGTTAGGAGATTATATGGTTTGGTTTTTTATACAATTCTCTTTTTATTTCTCAAAACTAAAGAAATAAGATGACAAATAAATGCTTTCCTTGATGCAGAGAATATATTCATTTACATAGGATGTTATTATAAAAAATATAAATGTGAAATTATGACTTTCTTTTCAACAGCAGCAAATCATTCCAGCACGTGCAAGCTCAGAATAAAGCGTTCAGATGGGTGATGCCAAAAGGACGAGTAAATGAGAGCAACTGATTCATCTTCCTTTCAGTCCTGCTATGAATGCACATTATTTGTGGCCTGTTTTTATACTAGGCTATGAATAACACAAGTTAAACCAAAATGTTCAAATACTGGTCTCTGATCAGGGGAAGATGCTACAAAACCTAAATACAGGGAAGTATTTGACACAGTTAAATGAAGGCCCAAAGCAACTCTGATTACGGAAAATTAAATTTTTGCACTTTATCTTTACTAAGTGTTTTTAATGTGTATTTTGTTTAGCTGTGTTTGTAAGATTTTACGTTCCTGCTTGAGGGCTTAAAATGCTAAAGTTAGTTCCTTTTTGACTTACAGCTTTTCTTAATTTATTTTCTGGAACTTTCTGACAACATATTTCAGAACTTGACAGCCCCACAGTATGCAGCAAACCTAAAACTTTTTACAGTTCATTTCATGCTGGTGTAAGAACCTTTTTGCAGGTAAGTGATAGTTTAATTTTCATAATTTAGTGAGCTGTAAATGATGAAAAATTTCCGAAATATAAGCACCTATCTTTGATTAATAGCAGTGTTTTCTCACAGTAGCCACTAGTATGAGTTTCAATCCTAAAAGTGAAGATTAATGCATGCTTTATTGTCCACTCACTACTTGCTTCCTACATTGAGAATGCGAACAAGTTCCAGGTACTTTCAATTATGTAGTTTTCTTGAGATGAAGACAAATATGAGGATGGAAGTCCCTGGGATGGGATTAACATATGAGGAAAGATAACTTCATTTATATTTTCCATAACTGTATTTTTCCCAGTAAACTCACCATTTGGATATGGGGTTTCACAAAGAGTTAAAAAATCAACTATAGGATGATCCATTTCAAGGACTGTAATTGCTTTCCCATGCATGATTGTTAAACTTGGTCTTCGACAAGGCTTATCATATGACAGTCCACCAGAAAATATCACAAATGGTTCACTGTATTAAAAAAAACCAACATGACAAGTGTAAGTCTACATAGAACATACAAGTTTACATTATAAGTTTAGTATCTGCAAATAATAATAAACAGCTTTGTAAAAAGAAAGCAGGAAAATATTCTAAAAGGAACTCAGGAATGTAATATTGAATTAATTATAGAATTAAAAACAAACCTGTTTTTACAGGTCTTGTACTCTACTTTAAGAATTGGTTTACAAGATTCAGGTTTTTTCCCATCTCTTTGAACTTTTCCTAAGGAAAGAAAGAACATGAAAACTATTAAAATATGAACTTGAAAGATAAAACTAAAACATATACATTGAAACAACTGCATAAGCAACAAAAAAAGGGAACTTTAAAGCTACAAAAGATTAGGAGGATTAGCTCCTATTTCCACAAAATGCTCATTTGTCTAAATTAATTACATTTCTCATGTCTTTGTGCCACATACATCTAAAGTACCATAGAACACACTTCAAAGACCTCTATAAACCATGCAGATTTCTGAGTATGACACTTAACTAATAATGAATGAATCAGACTAATTATATGCCTTTTCTTTTCAGAACACATAAAGACCATAAACAGCTTAATTTTTTCCTAACCATTCTTACATTGACTTAATTCCTGTTGTTGACGAAACATTACATGCTTTGGAGTGTAACTAGTTGAGTGATAAAATTAAATGAAGCATACAACTGAAATTCATTAGTTCTTGGTTAACTATGGCTCAGCACTTTCTTCCAGAGAAAATCACTTGTAAACTAACAAAATAGCCATTTTGGATTTGTTTCTTTGGAAAGTCTATGCTTGCCTTTGACAACAGCCTGACTGGAGGATACAGTGTAGATGGATCAGACTTTTCTCAGAGGTGAACAGTGATATGATGGGAGATAAAGGATACAAGTTGTGGCATGGAAAATTCTGGTTAGATATTAACAGGAAAATTTGTGCCATATGGGTCATTAAATACCAAAAGATATTGCCCAAAGAGGTTGTGCAATTTTTTTCTGGAAGTGTTCGAGTGCCCAATGTCCTGAGTTTACTTATCAGATCAGGCCTGTTTTGATCTGATTGTCTGACTGGTTGAGAGTTCTCTTCTGACACTGTAAAATTCTATGACTAAAAATGGTAAAACAGAAGTAAATTAAGAAAATTCAAAATCCTTTTGAATTTTGGGGCTACTTAGATCTTGATTTCCTCTTCTTCCTCCCTCTCAGTCAGGTTTCTCAGTAAAGTAATGTATACTTTTACAGTGGTGCAAATACTTTTTAACCTAATTTGCAGGAAGCAATTTTATATAAAGTCCCACCCATCAAAGATACAGGCATCTCTTACTATGGCTCCTTTAAATTCTTCATTGTAGTTCTTTGGGAAGCCTTGTACTCTCCCCATGACAAACATTAATTTTTTGTGACAATTGCACATAAAAGCCCGTAAGTACAAACTATAAAAGAAAGAAATGTGAAAATCCCAGAGCCTGAGGGTCTCACAGAACAGCAGTAGATTCTTGAAAGGAATTGGATAAGACATCAGAGTAGTATTAATCAGAAAGAGATATTTATGACACCAACTAAAATAAAAAGATTGATTTAAGTTACTGATTTTACAATAATTTGCAGCTACTTTTCAGATCAAAATACTTATACAAGAAGTAACATCTGGGCTACAAGGAAAAATTAAATAAACATACATATTAGCAAACAGCATTGAGAACACTGTATTGCTTCTTAGTTACACATTTTAACTACCAGAATTACCGTGTGGAATTGTGGTCTGGAATGGTCTGTTAGGGCTTTTCAGATTCCATAGGGTCAAGCTGCCATCAGAGTGACTACACATGAACTGTTTCCCTTCATGATGCCAAGCAACAGAATGAATAGCCTACAGAAATGAAAGAAGAACTTGAGACTGCAATGGAATACAGTGCTTACATTAATGATATTTTCATGTATGACTTCAGATTATATTATTCTAATGGTATATCAACAATTGGATGGTTCTTTTTTGTCTAAAGTCCAAAGATAGTTTTGGAACAGATAGTGCATCAGAGAAGAGGAATATTGCACTCCTTTGTGCATACTACAAGTACAACATGATGAATGTTACATACACCATTCTTATTATTTTGTGCATGATTTGTGGAACTGACTGAAAATATCCATTGTTACATCAGAACTATTATCAGAAAGGATAATGGCACAAGTCCTTCAATTTTCCTGGTATGTGATGGAAACTAACAAAAGACATGTTCTGACATAACGTTCATTGCATACCACAGTTTCTCACACACTCCCCACAGAAGCACAGACTCAGAGAATTCTCCCTTGACTCCATATCCCTTCCAGAAACGTTCACTGCTAAATTGCAAAAAACACAATATAATCTTATGTAAATGTAAATAAAAGTGATCTATTTTTGAATGCAGTTTAAGAAATTTCCAGGGTTTTTTTTTTTTCAACCCAGGAAATGCTAAGGCCTTGCATGCACTTAAGATTGCATATAGACCTTTACCTGATTTATTCAAATGACTTAACATCATGCCTGGGTATTCATAAGTCAGCACTGCTGTTGTTTAAATTAATTTTGCTTAAGAGCTACTGGTCACTATTTAAAACTCCCTGTTGGCTTACTGCTTTTAATCATATTGATTGTTACGGTTGGTTACAGCTTATGGTCTGGAGAGAGTAGCAGAAGAAATCAACCAAAGGGCCATGACCCTTTACATAAGTTTTACTCAGCCCCTGGGGCTTGTCAGCAGAGCCACAAATGAGTCTGCATTAAGATGACCCAGATGTTTTAACAGGAATCCGACACACCTTGTATATGAATACTTGATTAACACACTACTAAAATAGTTGTGCCAAAAAGGATGTAAAAAACCAAGCTGAAAAAACCCGGAACTCTAGGTATTTGTTTTTTGGTGACATAATGGGTATCATTCAAACTTCTACCTTCCAGAGACAGAGCTGGTACACAATTCCTCTTAAATAATGAGAAGAAACCAAACTAGAATTGAAGTAACAGAAGACAACAGAGAAAGATGGTTCATGCAGAGTCCAGTGTTGTTGCCCTCAGGTAGAACAACCTTAGCTCTGTGGGGAGCGCTACTTCACTTACACTGACGGCATGTCTATCCTCATGCAAATTAATTCTGACATGAGCTCATTCATGCTTGCTATCATGCCAAATTTGAATCTGGTTTTGATGTGTTATCACACTTAGAAACATTTCACATGGTTATAGTCACTGACTGTGTCTGAGCAGGAGCTAGGGACTAGCTAAAAACTGTACCAAGCTGCTTGCTAAACTGCCTCTCGGCGACCGGGTGCCACCTGCCAGCATAAACCTCCTGTGGAGTGGAGCTGAGGTGGGATTATCCTGGCACAGACAGCTGGCGTAGCAGCAACTCAAACTGACCCGTTAGACTTTGCCCCAAAATGGGCAAGAAAAACAGAAATGCTTTTGGAGGTCTCAGCTGCGAGTCATGAGTAATTCTGAAAGATGGTCCTGAATAAATCCTGAATTTTTTTTCTGCTAGATTATGTCTAGCATTCTGATCCACTTCTTTAGCATCCACACACAAAAGGAGCAGTTATTTGCTTAGAACAGGAGTTCATCATGGTGGGTGACTCATGTGAATGTTAACACAGTATATGCACATAAAGTATCTCACTGCAGACTGGGTATGCTTCTCCTTCTGCAATACCCATGTGGGTTGAATACACATTCCATCTTCTCTCATACTTGTCATGTACTAAAATTAAGCATTCCTAACATGATTTCAGTTCCTTCCCAACCACAAACCTTCACCACTGAGGGTCTTTAGTACCGCTTTTAACCATATTTTGCACAAGAACAAAGCTTGTTGCATCTTACTGTTTGAATGCTAAAAATCCTTTGTGTTGGTAGTACTGCCAGGACCATTACAGCAAGGGCCACATCCGATTTGGTATTTCCATAGCGGCACATAGGGAGTGACAGCTCCCTACCTTTGCTAGACAAAGGTAGGGAGCTGTCATTTGGCAAATACCTCTGAGAACTCTATATCTTTGTTTTGGGGATGTGTTCCAATGAAAGATGATGACTGCTTCAGACAGCTCTGAATGAGAGTTGACACAAACTTCCAAAGCCTGCACAGGAAGGTGGCTGGATTTTGGGTTTGCCAACTATCAGTAACAACTTGAGAGTAATCTGAAAGATCTGTCTTGTTTATGTGCTGTCTTTTTATACCACTTGATAGAAATAGACTTTTGAAGGAAATTACAAAAGAGCTTGGAAGGAAAACCTTTTACAGAAGGCATTGTGTAGGAGCATTGATTGGAAGAGCCTCAATACCTCATGCATATAACCATTGAGAAGATGAAAATCATAATGATAGTAAGAAAAGTAAGGGTGAATTAATTTAATTCAGAACTCATGCAAAGAGGCACTTTGGTACTTAATGAAGATACAGAACACTTACAGGAATTTTTCTGAGACTTCACAAATACCCTGCAACTGGAACTGTTCTGGCTCAGTGCCGGAACAATACTGAAAGATTGGTCAAACACGGTGGGGCACAGAGGCCTTCCACCAGTCCAGATAGCATGGTGAAAGGGAGCAGGAACAATGATTTCTGGACTGTGATCTTATGTGGCCAATCCATAAGATGAGGTTTAGGTTTGGTAATTTGGGTTGCTGCTAATTACCAAGTGGTACATACCAAACTAGTAATTTTTGACTCACAGAACCTATGTAACCCAGGATTTAAAAAGGAACCCTTTTCAGTGACTCCCTAAGGGTATTGGCTTCCCTAAGGGAATTCTAGCAGGTCTGGAACATTATGAACATGGAGCCTGAAAGTCTGGAATAAAGTAAAATGGCTAGTCACACAATCCTTTTAAAAACAAAATAAGAATTTTGCAAGTATTTCAACATATAAGAAGCTAGCACAAGTTGCATAAAGTGGAGTAATGACACAGCAAATAACCACTGAAGAGGAAAACATGGGACTTAAATGTTAAAAGGAAAAAAAATGTTCCTGAGAACAGTACTGAAAAAGCAGTAGAGTTTACTAACTCTAAACTCTAAACTAACTAACTCTAACTAAACTCTAAATTGTATGAGGAATTTTCAACACCCACCCATCCTGTCTCAAAATGAAAAAAAAAAAAAAAAAAAGGATGCTGGGAAAGAGCATTAAAATCCTGCTTCATGTAATCCCATTCTGAGTACAAGAGAGAACTGTGGGTGAACAGACATCCCCACCCCCAACCTTCCTGAGGGGACCTGTAAAAGGAAAAAGTTCTTCAGCCTTAAGTAATGGAATGGGTGCAATTTCACAAGTGTTTGCAAAAGCAGACTGTCACTGAGAGACAATTCAGTGGGCATGTGTGGAGGCTTAAGTGCTGGCCTATTCAAACTCTGTCCTTGGAAACATTTGCTATGTTGATGTTCAGAAACTTAACCTTGAAGCTCAGAGTAGTTTTAAAGTGTCTCTGACAGCAGGTCTGAAAGACTGCAGAACTCATATGCATTCAGATTGCTTTCTGGAGGGGAAATAAATGTGTATACACTCCTTATACACAGCAAGATGACAAAATGAAGAAGGAAAGAGAACTACAGGAAACCTACTGCCAGGATCACTTTAAAGAAAATGTCCTTTTCTACCTTCAGTTGTAGTTGCATTCACATTCATCCATGGTGAACTTTAAAGTACTGGCAGAACAAAGAATATTCTTCCCTAGGGCTAGTGCTAAAATCATAATAACTAGGAGTGTATCTATTTTTCAAGCAGCTTGATTATTGACACAAGAACTGCATTTGTGGTTAACACAAGCTGCTTACCAATGACAAGACACAACTGTGTGATAACTATGAAAATATAATTTTGAAAACAGTTTAATCAGATCTTAAGTATTAGGCAATATCAACAGCTGTACAAGGTAATTTGTATTCCAATACAACGAGTGCTCTAGAAATACTCAGTATAGATTATATAATAATTCCTACTGCAGCTGTATCTCAGGTCAGCTCATTGCTAGACCCTGTTCAAATGAGGATCCCCACAGAGAAGTTGATCAAGTTGTGAGGATGAAGGGGAGGACATTCTGTGTTACAGTACACTCATGAGAGCCTAAAGCATCAGAACTAAGGATTTCAGACTTTGATTTCTATTGTCAGTAATTTGCCCCAAAAAATAGCACAAACAGTATTTCCAGAACCAGCAAGGTCTTTAGATAAACATCCATCTGCTTGGTAAGACATATGGCAAACTGCTGAATAATGGCTTTGCTGAACTAATGTAAATTGCTTACCTCATCATAATAAGCTCTCAGATCGGCTCTTTTAGATCGTAAGTCCCAGAACACGATAGTCCCATTTTCATAACCTATCAACAGCTAGAGGAGGGAAAAAGACACAATTACACTTTTCGGATTCAAAAGGTACATATAAATATTGAGTAATATAAAAAGCAATAGCAAAGTGGCATGCAAGATTGTAATCTTACCTCACATAATACCTTGCTTTCAAATTATCTTTCAGTATAAATTACTTCACATTGCTGACAATTTAAGATCTGACATGGAAAAAAAGGGCTTCATACACCCTTTTTTCCCCTGCATGATTATGCACCTAGACAGTCTTCTCAATTGTATATCTGCTGAAAACCAAAGATTGTAGCATGTTCCTACCAACTCTTATCTTCCCTGCCTCTTGTTGGAGAAAAAAAATGTTTGACACCTAAGATACCAGTCAAGTAATTTCAAACCAAGAGAGTCACCAGATTAAACTCTCATTCAGCTACTTATATTCCTTTTATTTATGCTTGCTATTGCTTGAAAACATTCTGAAGAACTCCCCCTGCAGAGAATAAATTGCTTGCTTTCCTAATAATTAAAAATAAATTAACTGATATGTCAATTTTTACTACTTCTGGAACTGGGATGCCATGTCATCATGCACACCATAGAAATACCAGCAAATATTTCTGAAAAGATGAAAGAAAAGGAAAACAATGCTCAGTAGAAAAATAAGAATGAACACAATAATTTCTCCCTGTCTCCACTGAAAATAAATGAAATATTGATCTGGTAATGTAGAGTTACTCTTCATTTAAACACAACTAATTTCAGATCTTATGGACAATATGATGTCTAGCTTATTTAGGTGTCCTGGAAACTATTTCCCATAGAATCTGTCTTCTTAGGAATCTGTTCTGGACATGAACATGGAATCTGGAAATGGCTAAACTGGCAAACTCTCACATTTCTGCAATAGAATATTTTATACAACTGGAAGTGATAAGTGCAGTTATTCATCACCTGTAAACATCTATATCACAAAATGCAGGCAAGAATTTACAGTTTCTATATAAAGAATTTGTGCAGAATAATGACAAGATTATATCTTAGCTGGATAAACCTTAACAGCATCTTTGCTATCACTCACTTTAGCTTGCATGAGTCCTAAAAATGAAATTTGGCTGGGCTGCTAAACAAAACATTCCTTCCAAGTTAAGTATAACTGGTACATCAATACTGCTACAAAGGAGCCTGGGAATACTCTCAGTTCTTCTGCATATGATTATTTTTATTGCCAGGATAATATTCCTTATGTGGAATATTCTAGCTAATCTGGAAATTATTTATAGTTAATATATTTAATACTTGAATATGAACAATAACTTATTGTGCTCCTGAAGAATTATTCCCCTGAAAAAATAATTAAACTGTCCTGGAAAAATTCCAGACTATTTAGCATTTTTGCTCTGGATGGCTCCACATGGGATTTTGTGGCAGAGTCAGAAAGTATGCAGCTAACTGGGTAGCACTTGTGTCAGGATGCCATATGGTATTCTGGGATAATAGGCTGCCACTGAGAGAGCGAACAAAGGAGAGTCTTACTGCAGCTGCTTGCACTGTTAGCACAGCAATCCCAAATGGAAGCCATTTGTATATCCAGGAGTTAGTGAAGTTCATACCAGGTCACTTGAATAGGTGTAGGCCTGTGCTGTGTTGTGCTGTACACAGAACTCGACTTTCAGGCCTCCATCGTGCTGCACATATTCCTTGGCCACAGGGTAAACTCAGCTGCTAATTCTAAAGGACCCTGTAGGCCTCTCCCACTTGGTAAAGGCAAGGACTGCACCTCTGTGCCTTTGTCTTAGTGTAAGGCAGTATGACTCACATGAGCATCCTTTAGCTTGACAGTAGAAATGGATGGGGCTTTTTTTTTAATATATTTTTTGAATCTTTTGGGATCTCCAAAGACAAAATACTGGCAAGCCTCTTCACAGAGAACAGTGCCATGCCCTTATCGGAGGTTCATCCAATGCTACACAGCTTAGGGTTTCCACCCTCCTTTTTGTATTTACTCCAGGTGATTACTAAAAGGTTAAATACCTTTCATCAGAGGCTGCATTTCACCTGAACTATTGCTGAAATGCTTAAAGTACAACTGCATTAAAGAATTGAAAGTAACAAAGTGCAATTTCAGGGAAGAAATTGAGACAAAGAGATTTGCTGCATAACCAGGAATCTCTTTTTGTTCAGACAGTAGTCGTGTTGCTTTGGTACTGACTGTGTACTGTGGTACAGCACTAAAGTCACAATTCCAGTTTAGGTGAATGGGGTTAGTCTCATTGCCAGGATATTTATGATGATTTATGATTCTGACCTGTCTGAACCATAGAAAACTCAAACATTCCCACTCCTCAGTCATAGTGAAGATCTGTAAGACAAGCTCTATTTCTGTAATAGAGGTAAAAAGCAAAACATCCATAAATGCAGTTGGAGAGGAAAACCCAGACAAAGGAAAACAATGTCTGTAAAAAGAGTCAAGGATGAAAAAAACTCCAAAGATTCATCTTGCCTTTCATGGTGCCTCAATTAATTACTCATGCTTAATTTGGTTACAAAAAAAGCAGAACATGGGACAGAATCTAGAGAGAGAAGTCCTGGCAAGATCTTCCTTGTCTAGTGGAGTTGTTTCATATTTTGACTTACATCTTTCTTCATCAAATACTTTTGATGATGGGAGGAAATTTCTTTTTTACAGTAACCTAATTACATCTTGGTACATGCTAACAAGCCCCTTCCTTGTCCTGGTAACACAAAACATCTGGAGAAAAAATCCCTAACAAACAAGCCTCCCAAAGAGGCCTTTTTTTTAGGTATTATTAGATCTCAAAACTCAGACTCAGAGATAGGAAGTTTAGCCCACCAGGTAATTGTAAATAACATTAAACCTCTTCCTATTAAGCTCTCTCCGTTTGCTGGGAAACTGCAGATTGCTGTAGTTAATGTCTTTTCCTTTGTCAGCAAGAAAAATCATGTTTGCTACAGATCTGCCACTTATAAATGTCTATGCACTCCAGTCTGTCCCTAATGTACACTTATTAATTGATTTGGCAGACAGAGTTATATTTCATGAACTTAATCACTTGGTCCCCGAATTGTTCTTCAGTGACACATTAAATGCCTAAATTCTCTTTGATGTCTGTCTTCCAGCCACAGCTTATTAAATTCATAAAAGAGACTTCTCTCCAAAGCCTGCCTAGATAGTTTGCCTGGAGGACACTCTGGAAAAGTTTTGAATGGCAGAAGTCATCTGGAATTGCATTCACTCTTTTGGCACAAGGAACCCAATCATCAGTCAATGAAATAAACTGGAACTTCTAGGAATTCAAAGGATCTTAATGAAAAACGTGAAGATACTGCCAGTGCACAAACTTCCCTGTCTTTCAAATAGAGCTCTTATGATCTAGACCTTGAAAGGTCTGACTATATCTTAGGACTCTCAACCACTCAGTGTTCATAGGAGAAATACTTAGATCAGCCAAACAGTCCCAGGTCTGTGAACAACTTGTAATACCCCAGAGAGGGCTATACCACTGGACTCTTGCAAAGTAGTAGAGTACAAGAACATCTGTATTTTGAGTAATGATTATGACTGATTTTTATCTACTATTTAATTCTTGAAACTATATGCAAACAACACTTTTATCTGCTGCCTATCATCAAGTGATGTGTGGAGTCTGATTTCTGCCACCAATACATTTTGGTGATCTTTGGTTAACTTGGAGCTATGGAGATAAGCAAAGTATGTAGAACTATCATCAAACAGCTCTTTTATCTAAGAAAAACTCTGCCAAATTAAATTAAAGCCTATCTATGACAGTAGCTTGTACTGAAATGGCCAAGAGTAAATATCAAATAATATGGGAAGAAGACAAGTACTTGTAACACACACGTATTCTCTCAGTCTAAGTAATTTTCTCATTCAAGTATAGCCATCTCCTCAACTATACATGGCTCTGTTTAACCTCATCTTTAAGAACCTTTTAGGAGAATTCAGCATACTCTTCAGTTACCCTCACATTGAATTCTTTTGCGTTAACTTTTCTAGACTTCCTTGTGATCAATACATTTTCAGCACGCACAACAGCATCTGGAAATGTTTCCTAAGTTCTAATCATTGCTCATTTGATGAAGTACCAAGACTTGTTTGGAATCTGACCTGTCAGCTTCATTTGGTATCCTTTTAGTTTTTGTATTGAAGGAGACTATGAGTTGTTTCCATCTTCTTAATATCAACTGTGATTTTCAAACTTGGACTCACAATCAGGTCTTTTCCATAGTGAATTTTCCTGTCTCACTAAGTTGTCTCTCATATAGAAAACCCTGTCCCTTCTTTGAATTTCTTTTAGCATTATGTTCATTTTAGACACAGAAGGACAAGTATTATACTCACTATTCAGCAAGCAGGTCAACAATGCATTTCTTTAATAGCTTTGTTTTGTTCTCTATTCTTCTCTGCATAATGCCTAATTTTGATTTTCTTTATGGTTCACTGCTGAGCACTGAGCTAACATTTCCACTGAACTATCATCACTTGAAGCGCTTCATACCAAACAGTAATCATCAGCTCACACCCATTGTTTTACATGTAAAGTCAGAAATATTTTGTCCTACATGTATCACTTCTCATCATTTACACTAAATATACTTAAAAAGACAGTATTTAACCTGCCATTTTACTGCTGAGTTTCTCAGCCTGCTAAAGTCCAGCAAACCAGGCCACATCACTGCTTACTCTATTTTCTCAGCTATTTATGACCATGTGAACAGAAAATATCCTAGGAGCTGCTTTTTTCCCCATTTTTTCCTCATTCTGAATAATGATCGATTATTCTTCATTCTTTCAACTAAAGTTTAATGTGACTTAGTTGAAAAATGCAGTTTAATTTATATCTCTATGGTTGAATTTTTTTATTTGAAATGACATCTTTTGATTTAATGCTTGGATTTTCTCTTACACCGGTACCTTTTACTGATATCTTCCTGTAAACACTATCAATTCCATATTCTGCAAAACTGCAAGTATTTTGTTGGCACCAATTCATTCTTTACACCACTCTCAACCTAACAATGACATAAAGAGCTGCATTGGGATGGTTTTAGTATACCTTACATTTTCTATTACTTCTCCCCATAAATTGTCAGTGTTTGTTTTTCATAGGCATCTGTCTGAATTTGCTGTTGTTCTTCGAATGCTAGTACTTCATCAGTGCCCAGATGTCTCCCATGTGCCCTCTGAGCAACAAGCACTTGTATTCCAGAGCCAATTCTCTTTTAACTCCCTTACCTGGGTCCTTTTCATCTTCTCTCTTTCTGCTGAAAAATATTTTTAGGTTTCTGTTTGGACACAGTGCATGGTATTCCTGTAAGAAATTTTTATTGGCAAGACCATTTTTTCTTTCAGAACCCTTTTTTCCTACACTGTGTGCCTTAGCTAGCTCATCAGCAGCTTCTGTTGTGGCCAGCAAAAAAGAATGATGCCTCATCAATAAACCTTTATTCTCAGCAGGTATTTTGCCACAGATAATTAAATTACATTTCTTGATGGCTTCTTGGTTGAGGCTACAACACTACACTTCATAATGTTCAATTACTTTATTTGATTGTATTCTAAATTGCTTGACCTATTGTGATTCTTCCAGAAAGGCTTAGAGATGCCATCAAATTTGTTGGAGGGTTGGTTCACATGAGCACCATTTGTGTGTAGTTCACCTCGCAATATTGGTAAGTCCAAGGACAAGTGATACAAACAAAAATCAGATGTAGTCATCAGTGCTTTTCTAGGTACACATAATTTCAGCATAATATCTCTCATGTCAGAAAATTAAAACTGCTGCTAGTTTCTAAGTATTATTTATTATTTATTGTTATATGAGGCACACTGTCAAACATTTGGTGATACACCATTTGGAAGATGCAGTACTTTATAAATACACACTGAAATACAATTACTAAAAATGATCAAAACCAATGAGAGAGTTAAATATCCTTTCCACACAAGCAAAATGCTCAAATATCAGTAGCAACACATAAAAATCTAAAAATTAAAAAAAGCTGTAATAGAACCAGAGTTCTGTCAACCCTATTTCATCTTTGAAAAGCTGCCATACAAATAAAACCAACTCTGATTGTGCCTCCTGGTGATATCAGTCACAACCCTAATGCTCTGACTGTATGCTTGGCTTCCACTTGTGGACAGTGAACAGAGTTGAGAATAGCAAACAGCAGCAACTTCCAAACCTGGGCTATTATCATGATAATTCTTACATAAGAAAATATTTTCTATCTTACAAAAACTTACTATAATGCCTTCATAATACCATGCTTATCCAAGTACTGAAGTCATGATACAGTTTTTAGTCAAATCTTTAACAAAATCAAGCTTTTTTAAACAGGAACAATTTAGATGGCTATACATTTCAAAGTATGTTGTCTGTATTACAAATGTTTACTCATTAAATTTGTACAAAGATAATCTTTTTTGTTAAGAACAATAAAATAGTTAAAGTGACTTGCAAGCATTGAAAGAAAGCAGATGATAAGATCAGTGAGTAAGCAAAAGGAAAGAGTAATGAGGCAAATAAAGGCTATGAAATGCTGCAAAATTTTATGCCATTGGTTGTACTCACTTTTCCTTCATCTCTTGGGCTGTCGCTTAAATGTACAACTGGGCCAGGGTGAGTCTTGGTGGATCTGCAAGACAAAAATCAATTAAAATCTGTGAATGCTTTTTGTTGTAAGAAGAGCTAGATACCTCAGTTTCTAGGTGTGCTAACATGTTCCTCCAATGGTTTAAAAATAATTGTAAAAAACCCAATAGGGTAAGGTAAAGATATAGGTATCTTTTAATATTTTCCTCTATCTCCTTTTTGCCATTATAGGCAAAGATTCTCTTTTCTTAAAAAATCCTTCCTTCAATTTTCTTTAAAAATCTCACTATTCTTCCTATTACAGTAATTTCCCCCCTTTCTCATTCTTACAATTTTTTTGCCTTTTCTGTTCTCTACTCCATCTCTTTCTGACCCTCCCTCCTTACTTGTCCCATTTGAAGGCTAATTTGCCAAGGATTTACAAAGTCTTCACTGGATTCATTTCAGATACAGATAGCATGACTCACCAAGTTCCAATGTCACTAAAGACAGGGTTTCAGTAACCTCACCTACACTGCCCTGCCAGGAAGCATCTTAGCATTACTGCAGCAGGGTTTCAGAAATGGAGCATCTTGCTTCTGTGTGATCTGTAAAGTCTTATCTCATCCTCAGACCAACTAACACAGTTACACCCACAATGCATCTTCAGTGGGGCTCCTCAGCCACAACACCCATCCTATACATTTTTGTAAGCCTATATAGAGATTAATTACTATACTTGACATTCTCTCCCTTTTTGCAGCACACACCAACTGCATCATATGCAAATTAGTGCTGAAGTTATTAATGTCCATCACCTGAAAGAAAATGCAAATCATAGGAAACTGATTGGACAGACAGAGATTTTTCATCTATCATCTTCTCTGACCTGACCTTCAGGCCCTGGCAATCATAGAGAGCAAGAAGAGGAGCACCAGCCCACAATGAATGCCTGCACAGAGGAGGACCTTTCTCCCATCTAGGTTCTGGGGTCAGAATATGTGTCCCTTGGAGTTCAGCTTAGGATTGGAACTTGCATGACTGGTCTTGGTTCACCAAAGGTCATCAGGAAAAAAAAATATGACAGAGATTGGCAGAGCCCATAATGTGAAGAATTTATCTAGAAACCATATGTAAAATGACCTAGACTCCAAGTTTTAAAACAATCTGCAAGAGAATTAAAGAAACAAACCAAAACAAGCTTCTCCAGCCAAACTAATCAAAGGATGCTTCTGAAATAATGGCCTCTTCCTTTGGCTGAATACTGCACTGTAGCAAAACTGGCCTCTGTTCTACAGGTCAGACTCCAAATCAAGACTTAGAGTGGTACACAAAAATTCTCAGACAACTGAAACATTAAAGCAGAAACATAGCCTCATAGGCTCCTCCTTCCCAGAACAGTATGCTCCAACACTCTAAAAGCATGCACACTCTTCTCTGGCCTCTATACTTTGTCCATATTATGTTTTAAATATTTTAACTATTTCATCACTCACCAAAGCTGGGTCAAAGCAGAGAGGCAAAGATCTAGTCTGATACTTATTTCTGAGCTGAGGACAATGAAAAATTATTCCAGACATCCTGAACATGTAGCATGTTATTCTCCTACATGAGGTCTCCACAAGCAAGGTTTTTGCAAGAGTATTTTGCAACATATTTCACCACAGAAATGAGATCAGCAGGAAAGCAGTGGACAGACGGTTTATACAGTGACATTCTATACAGACTGTCTTTGATGGTGCCAGCAGCAAGCACCCATTTGGCCTGAGACACGGCACAAAACCATTTTTACAGAGATGCAGATAGCAGGAGATCTGGCTGTCATTCCTATCCAAGCCAACTTACCAGAGGGGACCCCTCTGACTGAGCTTCTTTTCCTGAGAAACCTGTACTGAAATAAAAATACCATTTGCACAACACCAGGCCTTGGAACAGGCAGGGTAGGTAAGCAGTGACAGGGAACTGAGGGGCGAATATTTGTTTGTAAGCAATGCTTAGACTTGCACACGTCTTGTACATCTGTTCAGAGGGAGTGCAGGTGACATTTTGGGACATTCTAGGCTGTTTCAAATGCTGTTTCTGACTTAGATTCATTCACCTGTCTGAACTGGTCAGAGTATTTTGATGGAAAGAACTAGGTCTGTTTGAAATATATGCTGCCTATGCAGTGATGGGCAAAGGGGGAAGGGTGAGAACAAGAGGAAGAAACAAGAAGACACAGCATAAGAATTTTCCCTATTTAGCCAGATAAGAACCTCAAACAGATGACAAAAGAGAGAGCAGAGGCAAGGAAACATCAGATATGTTTTCCCAGAAAGCTGGGGACAAACAAGATGGTAGCAGAAGCACATGGAGGCTGACAAAACACAATGGGTTGGGCAGCTATCCCAGGCCATTGAACCAACCAGGATGCATGGTGGGTTCCTTGGCCATCCGAATCTTGGTACATGAACAGGAATATTGGCAAAATCACGACAAATAGAGGGAGAAAACAAAAGAGCATACTGTCTTTCTAAGGTAAAGATTGATTCCATATAGTCAGCTCCTTGTACCTACTAATTTTAAAAGTCAGGAACAGTTTAGAAAAATCTGTGCAACCAGTTTCTTTGAAGGACACACATGACATTGCTTACCAAAAAATGTATCAATTTCTCTTTGGGTAGAAGCAAACTCTTACATGAGCTATGCTCTCCTCTTTATGCTAAGTATACTTTCATAGTCACACAAGCTTGTTGTTCCTCTGTAAATGGTGTAAAACCCCCTGTCTTTTGCTACCAGTCTTATTTTTATCTTATACTCCTGCAGGGAGTAGCCTCAAATTTCCATGCTAAAACCTCAGCTAAAAGGGGAAACCTTCACTAATACGATACAATTTTTAATCTCCTCCATTTCCGTCTTGAATTCATTGTAGTTGGAGGATCCTGAGATTTACTGCACTGTATTAATGTTGTAGGGTTTGGGTATTTTTTTTTTCTTAGGCACTTTTTGTTTCTTTTAGGAGTATTATAGTTTAATTATTATGCACCTAGGTATTTCTTTTGTTCTGCTGAATAACAGCTTTATATACACCATCAGTAAAGTTGATACCAAACACATCAGTCTGTGCACTAAATGTGTGATACTTTATTTTTCCTGATTGTCTTTCCTCTATATTGGATATAAGTATTCTCTTAGTATTCATATTAACTTGTTATTTTAATCATTTAGTTATTTTGTGTAATACCTGGCTTGCTCTGTCTGCTTCCTTTTTCTTTCACTTCTATTAAATTTAAGACTATCAGGTATGTCACTCTATCAAAACCATTGTTTAGTTTTCTCACATACATCATCGGTCTAGGAAAGATAAGGATTCAGGGGGCAGGGTCTTTATTTTTGTCTTTGTTTCTCACCATTCTACTCTATTTTTACTAGCAATAAATTAAATTAATTCTTTCCAAGTCAAGTCTGGTTTCTCCACTGACAGTAGCTGATTTCCCTGATTTTACCTTGATTCATGAACTTTTCCATCTTACATTCTTTCCCTGTCCTTTTGAGGACGGGGAGTGAGAGAGCAGTTGGGTGGAGGTTTCACAACCAGCCAGGATCCACCCTCCACAATTTCCTTGATTGCTTAACAGAGGCCAGCTTTGTTTATATATAGGTAAGAGTAAGTAGAGAGTCTATTAAGTTTGGCAGCCATAACATGGCTTCTGTCAGGAAAGCAGAAAGGATCCTTTTCAAATAGTTGTATATACCAAAACTAATTTCACATGTGCCATCACAGATAAGATCACACACAGATGACAACAGATGTTCCTGAAGCTTTTTGGAAGTGTGGAGCCTATTCCCTGGCAGTCCTCCTGCACTGCCTTTCAAAGGGTCCAAGAAACATTAATTTTTTTATACACAGCAAGTAAAGTATTTGCACTGAAACGGATTCATCTTTGAACTACATAACAAGGAATATTCACAAGATGCAGCATAAAATGTTTGGTTTTGGCTGAATATGCACAGTCCCATCTTGGTGGAGATGCTTGTGGGAGGATAAAGCAATACAAAATAATCCCAGTTCAGGTGGAACAAGGTAGAAGGCTGTGTGTAAAAGCATTGCAACTTCCTAAATTCTGCAAGACCTTTTGCTTATTGCTCTGAGCCTGCCCGATGGCTGAATACAGAAGGAGGGACACGATAAAACTCTGTTTTTCTTCTTCTGAAGTGATGTTATCTCCCTTCAGGTACAGGACTGTGGAGAGGAATACAAACCTTGTCCTTTGTGCCACACTAAGACCAGGAACTGTCTGACAAAGGCAGATCAGCGCCTCACTTCTTGCATCTCCCTGTCTCCTCAAGGAAATTATTTATAAATAGGAATAAGAACAATATTTTTTGGAGCCCTAGGGAAGTGTTGCTTGTAAAAGGCAAGGCATTAGGCTCTACAGTCAATTTCTCTTGAGGGCAGACATCATGACTGCACTACAAGCAGGATTAAACAAAGCAATCATTTAGTTAACTATATTATATCAATAACATTACTTTAAAGAACCCATGAAATGCTATCAGAGCAGAGCTATAGATACAGTAATTACTGCTTTCATACAGTAAATTATACTGCATGTGGAAATGTCTGCACACAAACCCCATTTTTCCTCAAGTTGTTTTAGTATACGTAAAATGTTCTGTTTCCCTTCATTGCTATTACAGTAAAGTTGACAAGGAGATTGGAGAGTTGGACACTGTCATTGTGGAACTGCCTACAAAGAAAAAAAACCCTGGCATTGAATAATATTAAATGCAAAAGCAGAGATTCAGCAGCTCCTGGAAAGGACAAAGAGGTGCTGGAAAACCAACCCCATTTGAAGCTACTGTGAATAAAGTACTCTACTGTTGATGACACATACTTGTGTATACGCATTCCTTCAAGCTGGCTTTGGGGAACTGCATAAAAACTAATTAGATTCTATTCCTTAAGAAAGGGAAAAATAAAGAAGAATCCGCAGGTGAAAATAAGGCATAAGTGAAATAGTTGAGTTGGGAATTTTTCATTCCCAAATAGCAGCCAGGGTACAGCTGAGACTGACTGAGAAA